TATGAACGTCTCAGTGATTTTTGTTCACGAACATTAAATCAGTTACCAAATGCAGAACAAATGAATAAATTATCTCCTCCTACTTCGGAAATGTTAGAATCCAATCATCAATATGTTCAAATCAATAGAGTAGATCCATTAATGGATGAGAAAAGACACCGACTTAGTGGAAAACCTATAACTGCAGAGGCAGTATTGAGGTAAAATATGATTTAATAACATATATTTATGAAATTCATGAAATTTAAAATTTTTTTAAAATCAAATAAAAAATATATATTTAAGATATCATCGAGTAAACGATGTTCAGCGTTTCCGTTTTTCAAGACCAGCACCAAAGAAAGATGTAATTTCAACTACTATAAATTCTGGTGATAAAGAAAAAGATATGAATACTATTATTAATAATGAATTTGCTTCGTTATGGTTAGAAAGAACAGTACTCGTTACGAGTCATCCGTTGCCGGGTATTCTTAGATGTTTTCCTGTTACATCCAGTGAAACCTATTTAGTTAGTCCTCTTCGTAATGCAATTGAAACAATGGAAGCTACAAATATTGCATTAAGAGATTTGATCTTAGCACATAAAGCTGATAATAATCTTCCGTTAAATCCGCTTAGCATGAAATTAAATGGTATATTAGATCCAGCAGTTATGGGTGGTATAGATAATTATGAGAAAGCATTTCTCAATTCTGAATATCGCAATTCCCATCTAGAAGAAAGTTCTGATCTTTTGAAATTGGAAGGATTAATTGCTGAACAAATTCCACTATTAAGTATTGGTGTTCAATTACATAAAATGCGTGCTCCACTTGAATTAACTCCATTTCATCAGCGTTTGGAACAATGTTTTGCATCAATGCGAAATCAAGTAGAAGCAAAATACGGAAAAAGAGTAAGATATTTGTTTTTTATTAAAAAAAATTTTTGAAAAAATTATATATACGTACATATATTTTTAAAAAAAATTAATTACATATATGTATTATAGACATGTGATTTACAAATTGAAAATTTAACTCAATCTGTTACGATGCGACGACATCAAGCTTCAAGAGGCGAAATTCATCGATTATCTGAATCAAATATAAATACAGAGTAAGTAATGTATATATAATAATATGTTAATGTATAATATCATGTAATTTTTTACAACTTTTCTGCAAATATTTGTACTAACATTTTTGCTCATTTCTTTCTATATTATTAAATTGCATTATTTTTATCATGGGATTATAATTACGTTTGTTTTAAAATATTATTTATATTTATTATAATTGATATGCATGCAAAAAAAAAAGTTGACTAAAATTCATAACACAAATTTCATATAAAAACATGTAAAATGCTTCCTACATAATTTTGTCATATTTTTTATTATAATGTTATGTGGTTACTTTGTAATTATCTCGTTCAGCTGTGGAACTCACTCCAGGGTATCCTCTCTTACAAGATCCCAAGTTGCAACATTCAAGTCGCTCGCCTCATTCAATTTTAATAACAGCACGCCTTCATCTGGTATTCAAAACATCAGTTTGTCAAGGTAAAGATATTATGATGATGATGATAATGATGCATAAAAATATTTATGCTATAATTAACTTGTTTAGTTTCTTTTTTATTTTATACATAGTTTTTTAAATTTATTGTCAATATTATTCAGTTTTATGTTATATATTTTTTTTTATTTTTATATGTACTATTTTATATATTCATACTATTTGTTTATATCATAATATTTGTTTATTGATAATTTGATTAAAAGTTTATTTTTAAATAAATTATTTAATAATTGATTATTTTGACAAAAAAATTGGTTAAATATTAATCTAAAAACATTTTTCTAATTTCATATCATTTTCATATTTCGAATAGATATTAGAATAATTTATCTATAATTTCAGGAATTTTGCTGTTGGATCTGATAAACACAATATCCTATTATCCTTTCTCCATACCTAGCAGTTTTTGTATATATACACATGTGTATATATGTGTAAAAATCTTTATTTATATCTTACTTATTTTTTTTGACTTATAAGTCATTTAACATATTGTTTTAAAATTATTCTTTATTTAACTATTTTTATATTATTTAAATTAATCAAATATTTTATAAGAATGCTCCTAAAAATTGAAAATAAAAAAAACAAGAAAAAATATTACATATATACATATATACATATATATCTTAAAAGTAATATTTATATATTATTTCATTTTTTCTTCTTTTATTCTATTTTTTATTTGCATGATATTTTTTGTATTATTTGTTATATTACCATGTTTGTCCCTGGATAAAACAAGTTCTATAACACAACCGACTATTATGCTAAATAGGTAAATAGTGTGCTATTATATTAGTATAATATTAAAATTTTAATTATTAATATAAATAGATATTCTCATAATTAGATAGTAATAAATATTATTATTGTACAGGAATTCTTCAATACGTTCACACATATTGTCAACGGCATCTTTACAAAAGGCATTAGGAAGTCCAAGTCCTGGAACAAATAAAAAGAAAGATTCAAAGCGAAGAAGTTCACGCAAAAGTGATTCAGTTGCATCGACAAAAAATGATCAACCGACGAGTCAATGGTACACTACAACAGATGTATCACAAATTACATCAATCTCTGCTACTCCATCAATATCTAGTTTTCTTTCTACTCCGAAATTTGAACTTCGTCAAGAGGTAACGTTTCGGTATAATTAATATTGTTATAATAATAATGGTAATAATAGTAATAGTAATAGTAATAGTAATAATAATAATAATAATAATAATAATAATAATAATAATAATAATAATAATAATAATAATAATAACAACAACAAAATAAAAAATATTATTAAAATTTTTCTAGTTAACTCCTAAACGTCCTTTAAGATCAGAAGTAGAAAAAGAAAGAAGAATAAGTAATCGCCTATCTGGACAATCTCAACATTATTTAAGGAATATAAATAATGGAATAGATTTGAGTAGCTTAGGGAAAGGAAATAGAGACAGTATTGGCACCACAGATAGTACAGCCTCTGAAGATGATCCACCTCCACCTTTACCTATGAAAACTCGCGAAGCTGATTATTGTAATCTTCCAGAAGAATTACCTATTCAACATTATGGAACAGGTAGTTTAAATAATTTTAACCGGTCATTAGGACAATGGTCAAAAAACAAATTACCAACTCCTACTGATGATCTTGATATTCAAACGAAACCACCTACTCCTCCTCCGAAACCAAAAAGACCACCTTATAATTTAAATAAACTTATACTTTCTTCAGATATAGATAATTTTAGTCAAGACCCGTCCGTAACTTGATTCAAATTATTTGATGACCGTGTGTCTTGCCAGTATACTGAAAATTATATGTCATAATATTTATATACATAGATTTTAGTTATATAATAGGAAATTAAAGAGTTACCATTTATATTCTATTATGTACCTTTTCTTTTTATGTACATAAGAAAGTGTTTATCACTGTTAAAAATAACAGTGAATTATATGATTTTTTAACATAATTTTAGTAACATAACAAATGTAATAAAAATTAGATTTAATTTTATATTTTAATAAGATTAGACATATCTATTTCATTCAATTAAAAAATTTTTAAATTATTAAATTTGAAAAAGATATAAAAAGTTTTGAAAAAGTTTTACAATTTTTATATATCTAAATAAAAACATTTTTTATATACATTTTTCATTTTTTGATATTTTATAAATATATTTATGTAAAGTATAATATATAATATATAAGTTTAATATATATTTATATTCAATATTAAAAAGTTAAAATATTAGTTAATATATTTTGCATATTTACTAATGCCATTGATATCAAAGTCTTTCAATTATAAAAGACTTTATATACATTATAATATATACATATAAATTATGCATAATATGTTTATTAAGAAGCAGATATTACAATTAATGTATTTTTATAGATTTTTATAAGATGTATTTATCTCTATAATAACATATATTTATCTTTATAATTTTTTCTATAATAACATTTTTAAACAAATTTTACTAATATTTTATAAATGTTGCTAATATTTTTTAACATAGATAAAATTTAAAAAAAACTGTTTTTATATTTAAAATACTTTTTTAATATCTGTTTTCTTTAAAAGCTTGATTTTATACTATAGTATTATTATTATCTAAACTATTCTACTACTTAACCATTTTAAATTGTGATTTATTAGTATAATTAAATAATTAAATAATAATTTGTTTATCAAGTTGACAAGATCTTGTAAAATGTTAAATTATTTAAGATAATGAGAGACATGAAATAGAAAAAAACGTCAGTTTATATCATGCAGTATATAATCAGTACATATAGAATTTATCGCATATTTATTTATTAGTTTTCATGACATAATATAATATTAATTTATAATATAACAAATTTTTATATTTTTTCACACAATTATATAAATTTATAAAACACTATATCATTTGACAGAATTGCTGTATTTTTCAAAATGTAAACATATAACAAGAATGCTTATTTTTTAATTATAAAATATTATACAAGATTTTTAATTACAATTATTATGTAAGTCTCATACCAAAGAGATTTGTGCTTTATTTATTTTTGTTAATAAGTTGTATCATTTAATGTTATATTTCATATTATTCGGAAATCAAATAAATATGATATTTTTTAAATTGAAGACAAATAACAAATTATACATATTTATTGTAATTGATTTTTTGATATTTAAATACTGGTAATTAAAAAATTAATCTATTATAATTCATATTTAATGTGCCATTTTTTTTTAATTAATATTCATAGAAATAATTTAATTTTTAATTAGGGACCAATGTAATAAATTAAAATTTATTTATTGTTACATATAATATATTCTTTTATTTAATATCACAATTTTTTAAATTATTTTTAAAATAAATGATCAAAGGTATCATATTATAAAAAATATTAAGTTATACAATAATATAATTAAAATATCTTACACGTTTTTCTATGATATTCGACATTTATTTTTAGAAATATTTTTATTTTGATCAATGTCACTAGTACTTTCTTTTTTTACTTCAGAAACTTCCATATTATATTCATATCCGATATTCATATTTGATACTGAAGGCTTATGTAAAAATAAAATACTTTAATAATTTAATAAATTATATATACAAAAATTTAAAAAACACTTACCAATGAATTATTATTATTTTGTAAATTTTCATTAATGATTTTATTTTTATTCTCTATCCATGACCATGAATTTGGATGTGTCGATGAAATTATATGTTGACTACACATCTTAAAAAAAAAAAAAAAAGGAAAGAAAAAAATTAAAAAATTGTTATTATTATATATATTTTATTTTTTCCTTTTTTTAATTATACCATTCTTTCTTGAGATATTTTTACATGATCTAAATTTGGGTATAATCTAGGATCAATATCCAAAAATGGTGGAGCACTAGGAATCTACAAGAAAATTTTTTATTATTTTTTTATTTAAATATAAATGGTTTAAAATATAATATCATTTTTCAATATTTTACCTGTAAATTTTCTTTTTGTAAATTCATATTATCAGCAATATTTGATTTTTGCTAAAATTTATTATAACAAAAATACAATTATATTAATAAAAGAAAAAAAATTGATATATGTAATAAATAAAAAAAAAATAATTGATATATGTAATAAATAAAAAAAAATAAATAAAATATATTTACTTCTTTTTTTTCATTAAATTGAGTTGGACAACAATTAGTATAATGATTGTACATGCCACATTTTTCACATTTCAAACCCCAAGCAGGACAAGCTTTTATAGGATGTCTTTGGTTACATTTTTTACAATTCCTTTTATTTTGCATGTTTATTGATTTTTCATTATTATTTGACTTATTAGTTTTTTCATCAAAATTTTTAACAATCTTAGGTGTATTTCTAAAAGATGCATTATCACTTCTTGTATCATTTTTTATTTTGTTTTCTTCTTTTTTTTTTTGCAAATTTTGATGCTCATTAAAAATTTTTATTAATGTTAATAAATTGAGATTTTCTGTATTAAAAATTTTTGTTTTTAAATTTTTATCATTGATTTCCATAATTATTTTATCTCTAATTAAACTCTCTGTTATTTTTCCAAAGTTACAAGTTTTTGCTTTACTCTAAAAACAAATATGTATTTAAAAAATATATATTAAAAAGTATAGAAATTATTTTAATATTTACCTTCAACTGAGTGATATAAGTTTCAATAGATTCATCTTTTTTTTTTCTTGAATTAAAGAAATTATATCTTTCAATAACTTCATTTTTAGAAGGACAAAAATATTTATCAAGTTTTGCTAATAATACATTCATATCATCTCTTTCTTTCAAATTGGTTGAAATAATTTTTTCTATAGCATTTTGACCAATTTTTCCTATATAACTTCTTAAAAGATAAGCTTGTTGTTCTTTTGGTTTATCCATTGAATTAGTTACATTCATAAATATCATAAAATCTTTTTTCCACTGCTTCCAATTTTGAGCAATATCTCCATTATCAGATAAAGGATCAGGAGGTCTTACATATATATTCATTTTGTCATCAGATTTATATTCTAACAATGTATATCTAAAAATTAACATATAATAATGTAACAATAAACAATGTATATCTATAAATTAAAAAAAATTGAATTTTTTAGTTTTATAAACTATAATATATAATATTATAATATTAAATATTAATTTTATAATATATTAATATTATTATATAAATATTATAATATTAAATATAATTTTATAAACTATAATATATAATAAATAATATAACTATAATATAATAAAATATAATATATAATTATGTTAATATAATAATATATAAATATATAATTAACAAAATAAAAATATTTTATTAATATATAAAAATATAAAAAACTTAATCATTAAATAAATATTATAATAATTAATAATAATTATTGTAATAATTATTATTACAATTATTACAAAAAGAAATATATATCTTTTAAAATATATATATATATATATATATATTTAAAATTAAATAATATTAATTAATTATTTCATCGATATATTTTTTAACATAAAATTTATATATGTATACATATATTTTAATTTTATTTACTTAATAAAAACTAATTTCTTCTAAATAGATTATATATTTTATGATTATTACGTACCTGAAGAAATTAAAAATAAATTCTTATTAAAAATAAAAAAAATTAGTAAAAATGATTTATGTTTTACAAATTAATGTCAGAAATGATTTGTTCTTATATACTTATATACTACAGTACTTTTTACAACGGGTATTTCCCTAGTTAATAATTTAAAAGATGAATCATGATCAGATGAATCAAAATTATAAATAGAATTATCGACTTTAATGTTGGTAACAAATTAAAATTTAATTATTTTATATTTTATAGTATTTAATTATGTTTTATATTTATATTCTGTACCGTATAAATAAAAATACATGATCAAAAAATGAAAAAAGAAATTTAATTTATGATCTTGAAATATGAAATAAAAAATGTCTTTTCTTTTTTCATATTAATTCATAAAATTATTCGTTGTTAAAATGAATAAAAACAAAAAATATAATAACAAACATAATTATATACATATATATTTAAATATTAAAAGAATTAAATAGCTCATTGTTTTGAAAATAGGAAATCAATAGTAGAAGTTAATTTTATATAATAATATAAATAATTTTGGTATTATGTTATCTAATTTATTATTTTATCTAGTTTATCTAGTTAATTATTTAGTAATTTGTGATTTACGTTTATTCATGATTTATTTATTTTCGAAGACTTAACTTTATAGATTTTGTTAGTTTTAAGTTTAGAAAATTCTACTAGATATCAGTTAGTATTTCTGCAATGTAATGAAAATTTAAATTATAATAACTTAATAACTAACATTTTTTATATTAAGTGTTCATTTTGAATACTTTTAAAACGAATAGTGCTACTAAATAAATACTAAACAAAAATTTACGATTTATGATTTATATTTAATAATTAATAAAAATATGAAATTACAAACAATATAAAATAAACATATATAACATTATATTTATTAATTATCAAATTAATATCGAATTAATCTCGAAAAAATAATATTTTTTATCTTATTTTATATATTATTTATTAGAGATAAGATTATTTTTATCTTTTTCTGCTATTTTTTTTTTTCATCTATTTTTTTTCTTCATCTATTTTTTTTCATTCTTGATGTTCTAGAAACGATTTTATATTTTTTAGTTTTTTTTTTTTTTTCTTCTTTTACTATTTATCCTTCTTGTTCCGTACTTGTTCAAGCGAAATATATCAATTATAAAATTATACAATGTTCAAATTTTATTTTAGAATATCAATAATTACGAAAATTTCTTGGTTTCCTAACAATATTTGAATGCAAAAAATTTCAAAGTTTCAAATTTTCTAATGAAATTTTTAAACTTTACAAATATAAAAATTAATATTTTTCAATTTTAAATATAAATATATAATTCAAGATAAGTAAAATATATCAATTTAAAAATTAGAAAATTTCTTTAGCCAAAAACAAAACAATTTATTTTATAATGATATTTTTATATTAGTGGAGAATATTTTTAAATATTTTCTTTAGGAAGATTACAAAGATTACAACAACATATTTAGTTAGACATGGAACAAAACATATTTTAAAACTTCATAAACTTTGAAGAACAATTGAAAGAATTCTATTCTTTTGTTTTTAACATCTGAAAATAAATTAATTTTTTGTTTATTAGTTTTGAGAATTAGTTTTAAAAATTTAAATATTAATAATACACATAATATATATATATAAATTTGAATAATATATATTATATAATATAAATATATGATTTTGATTTAAGATTGATGTAAAATTATTTGATTTTTATTTATTTGTATAATATAATAAAATATTATTATATTTCATAATTTATATAATATATATTATATATATATATAATTTATATAATATATATATATATATATATATATATATTATATAATATATTCTATAATATAATTATAGAAAAAAATTTTTCTAAATATATTTTTAATGTATATGAAACTTTAAAGAAGGAAAAATATATTAAAAAAGTTTCCTCCAATTAATCAAGTATATCATATTATAGATATATGAAATATAATTTTATTATTAATTATTATTAATAATTGCATATAGTGGTATTAGAGAATATTACTAAGCAAAATTTTTGGAAATTATTGAAAAAAAGATAACTAATATTTAATTTTAGATACTAATTTTTATTTATTCTTTTGATATTATCATATTAAGAAGTAAAAATAATAATAGTTTAAAATAGAAAAGGAGAATCAAAAATTAACAATAAAAAATTTATTTTATGAAAAATATTACAAAGTTATTTAGAGATACATACAAATATATTTGCATATAAAAATATATATATTTTCTTACATGTTAAATTAAAATATATATCATATTATAAATCATTAATATGTAATATATTGTGTAATATGTAAAATATAATATGTAATGATATAAAATATATATTTCTAATATCTCTAACAAAAATACACAAAAGAAATAAACAAATATTGATTATATCATCTAACACAAAAAAATTTCACTTATTATATTAAAATTTAAATTAAAATTATTTTTAGTTGTTATATTTATTTGATTTTTTATTACATTTTGAAGAAATATGACCCATTGTTTTACAATTATTGCAAATAATATTTTTTGCTATGCAATGCGATCTAGATGCAATATGGGTTAAACCACAATAATTGCATTGCAGAATTTTTTTAGCTTTACATTTCCAGCTAAAATGATGTAATTTCTGACATTTAGTACAAATTTCATTATAAGCTGGACAATTTTTATGTCTATGATCACTTCCACAATAATGACAGTTAGTAATAAAATTTTTTGGACATCTTTTTGGAAAATGATTCCATTCATTACATTTTATACATTGTTTTCCCAATGATGGGCATTTATTAGAAACATGATTAGATCCACAACGTGTACAGCTTTTTAAACTATTACTATCAATATATAATTTCCAAATAAATGCAATTTCCTTTATTGTTAATTTATTGAAATCAGAAGAAAATGTAAATGTTGGAATTACACGTTTCGCAGCATTATTAAATTGATATTCATTGATTTCTGCTAAAATTTTCTTCCTTATTAATTCTTGTTCATTGTCAATGTTTTTTTCTTTGATAATAAACTAAAAAAAAAAAATTATATAATAAGTAAAATTGTTGTTATATATATATATATATTATATATATTTAACATAAACTGTTATATATTTTTTATTAAAATTTTTGTTATAAATTTTTAAATTTTTTTACTTGTAAGTCCTTTATGTATTCATATATATTTTCTAAAGGTAATTTTTTTCTTCCTGAAAATATGTAATATTCATCAAATTTTTCAAGTAATATATCTACATTTTCTTTATCATTCAGAGAATTAAATTGAAATGTGCTATGAATATTTTGTCCAATTGGACCCATTAAATTTAATAACAGATTTCCCCATTTTTCCTTATTAAAATTCTCTTTATTTAAAATTTTTTTGAATGTTAAAAATTCATTTTTCCAAGAGCACCATGTTTTGAAAAATTCGTCTTCCGTTATAAACGATGAAGGTGGTATAACATTAGGAAATGTAGTTCGATTTAGATTATATGCATGAAACATATCTGAATTCTTTTGTTTTGGAACATTTTTATTTTGTGAGTTACCTGAAATAATATAGAATGTGCATAAGGATAAATATATAAAAGAATATTGAAAATATATTTACCCATTATATATTTCAATGCTTATCTCACAAAAGTCAACGATTTTATTATGTATAATTTACTATATAATCTGTGACTTTGCGATTGTAAGACTTACGACTTTTTCTTTTTTACTTTTATATCCGATCTATCAGAAGTAACCAATCCTCATTTCTTTTTGTAACATACACTTATATATTTATATAATTTTTTAAATTAACTTTTAATTCTTGCGTATACTTACTATTATCCTTATGTTTACATTGATTTTTTATACGTAATTTGGTACACATATGAATTAAATTTCTAATACAACTCATGTTTTAAAATTATATATATATATATATATATATATATATATATAAATTTGAAATCTAATATTCAAATATCACACAAAATAGGTTATAATAATGCACAATAATACGTACAGTTTAAGAAAATAAGAGAAATTAAAAGTAATCTATTACTAAAGATAAATTATCTTGAACAATTGATTATTCTGTATAAGTACATATTTCACCGAAGAAACAATTTGACCAACACAATTACGTTATAATAAAATAATAAAATGAAGATAAGATATTAAATATAAAAAAAATTTTTTTCTCTTCTTTGTTCTTACAAACAGTATTGATATTTGATATGAATATTTGAAATCATTATCGTCAAAAGAATGACTTAAGACAAAATAACACACTGATTTTTATGTTTCTTTGACTGCATGAATAATTGCAATTCGTTAGGCGTTCCCCTGGCAACTCTACTCGAGTTATACGCGACTTTTGCTTTAGTATAAAGTAAAATTGCTTAGTTTCACTTTAGTCTTTTAACATCTCAATATTATTCAACCGTGTATTCTTAATCGATTTTCTATCAGAAACATTTTCGAAGAATCTCATCGCTCATTACATAATTTGGTGATTCAATAAAATCGAACAAATATCACAAGTATTTAATAAATTAATAATAGAATAATGTAAAGATGACAAAGATGTTTGTTGCTATAGCATAATAAAGTATATCTTCTTTCAAATTTGACAGGTGTTCAATCTGTAATTATGGCATTTAGAAATGATATAAATCTCGAAATCACAAATGATAATAATGACACAATTTTCTATACAATTGATTTGAAAGAAAAATAAAAATTGGTATAAATTTTTGATTATTTTGAAGTTCTTTAGCCATATGGATATTAATTATAGAATAAATATCGGCAAATGGTTGCCACTTCCGAGTGATGTTCTTGAGAAATGGTTGACAGACTCATCGATGCTCATAAAAAGAATGGACAATTTTGTGGAAAATATAGCGTTAATTATTCGAGACATTGCAGACGCTCAGACATATGATTCAAAGGTGTGAAAGTTTTCTTTTTCATGATCAATTTGTGCATTTAATTTAATTTTTTATTAAAATTAATCCATAATATCTTTGCAATATTCTGTTTGATATCGATAAAGAGGAAAATTTTCATGCTGTTCAAATTCAATTAGGAATTAGCTATTTCTTTTTCAATATTTTAAAATTGAAATTTCATATTTTATATTTTCGTTTTGCATTTGAGAAAACTTCCATTGTTTATCGATATCAAAATTTTTGGATATAGAATAAATTTTATAAAAACTAGTGAAATATTCATGAAATTAAAGTTTGTTAAAAAATTGTTTTTTTAAATCTGAAAAGTTTCACGAATGAATATAAATGTTTTTTTCTTGAATAAACATTTTGAATCGTATTTTAAGTGCAGGTATACAATGGAATCGCAAACGATTTAGAAGAGATGAAAGAAGAATATAAATCGATCAGTACGATGAATCTCAGTGCACATCCAATTTATAATTACAAGATGAGACATTTTTTGATGATGTTGAAACGAAAATTGAACGTCCTCGCGAGATTTACTCGCAACTTGATTAACGAAATCGTCGATTGCAAGAGCGACGAGCTACTTAGGATAATTTTCAGGTGAAAGTCTTGCAACTTTTTAATTTTCGATTAATGAAACAGGTTTGATTCCAGATTGGTGAACATTTATAATGATATGCTGGATATGGATATCGACGTCTCTGATGTTTCTACGAATGTGTTCTGTAACGATTGTCCTTACATGTTAGAACCGATGAAGAAGATATCTGTTACACGAATATTGCAGGTAAAAATTTATTTTTTTTTTATTCTGTTTTACACATTAAAATTTCGATATCTTTTTCTGCGTACAGCGAATATGCGTACAGCAATTCAGCGTCTCAAATATTTTGAATGAATATGATTGCGATTTTTTTGGCATGAATAATAAGAAGATGGTATAAAAAAGTTCGAATAAAAATAAAATAAAAATAATTAAATGTTTTTTTTTATGCATGAGGATTAAATTAAAATCAAATTCAAATTATTCAATTTAAATTTCAAAGAAATGGCAAAAAAAAAAAAAACAAAGTAGAGTATTACATCATCATTCATTTCTCTGAAATTTCATTTTCTAAAAAATTTCGAATTTAAATACCAAAATATATAATTAATATATATCTTAATTATTTAAATTTTAATTAAACACCATTAAAAATCTGAATATCATATTATAGTTTAAAATTATCTTAATATTAGTTTAAAATTTTGCTCTATTGTATATTTAAAAAAAATAACATTGAAACTTTAAACATTGATTTCACTCTAAACGATAATTAATAAATAATTTTCTCTGTATATAATCTATATAATATAGCCTACATATTTACAATATTTCATATAAAAAAGAATTATTTTTTTAATTTTGATAACATTTTCACAACTTCGTCTTTTTCAGATATTGGCCAAAAACAGAGCCGAGGAATCCTGCCACGAACTCATCGACTGCCTTTTAACAAATTACGAGCCTCAGGAGAAGACCGATCCTTCTTCAACAATTTCTGGTGATGCTGATGTTTCGGATAATTCGAGTATTGAAATTTATCGGTTGGTTAACCAGCATTAAACATTCTTCACGTGTGAAATAATCGTCTCTTTCGGTTGTTGGTATATTTTGAAAAATGAAAAATTTGATTTGCAGAGCTCTCACGAGACATTTGACGCCACCGATCGAGAGTTCTTCGTCGAAGACGGAACCAGAAGTGTCGAATATCGAAAGTATTCAGACGTTGGTCAACACTCAAAACAAGTACGTTCTTAAGCTGTTGAACGTTGTGCAAGAAATTTCGCCTAGATTGTTGGGCACAGATGCCCTGAAAACTATCAATGGTACGTAGCACATCAAGTAAACCAAAACCTTAACCTTAACTGTATTTGTAATCCGACGCAATTGAAATGTAATAAAATGAAATATGCCCGTGATCACGATATCATCGTGAAAGGTGAGACGAGGCTGAGAAGTAGCGCGATAAAGAAGGTGAAGAATTACTACCAAGAGGTCGCGTGGGGTGCTTTGTCGAGCATTCTGGATCACGTGGTCCTCTGGTGGTCTCCGGAGGCCCTCGCGACTCGTCACAGTCACGGAGCACAGCAATTGAAGGACTGGCTCAGTCAATTCATCCAGAAAAATCACGGTGTAGAAACGAACATATAACAAAGTCGAATCGGAATTTAAACAATTTGTTAAATTAAATTGTAATATTTCTATGAGCAGTGCCAGAAACGGTGAGGCCAGCATTGCAAAACCTCTGCGATGCTCTTCGTTGCCATGCCACAATCATCGAATGGGATCAATTATTTAGACTGGCATACACCTCGGCTTTCAAGTGCCAATCGAAAGCTTCCTCCACGGACGTGAGCCATCTTTTCTCGTTCTAATTAATTTTAATCATTCATCTCGACACGATTTCGTTTCACATTTCTTCAGGGATCTGACACGGGCCAAATGTTCGGGGAATTGTTCCAATTGCTGGTCAGGTTGAGCAACGAGTGCGAGGCAGGCGGCGAATGGGTGATAGGTGCCCCATTGATGGAGTTGCCATTGTCGGAACAGATCGTCGTCCTCCATCGGTTAGATCATTCGGTGCACACAGCGAGGCTGTGGATAGTGCAAGAGGCGAAAATCATAGCGCATACGTGGGAACTGGACGTGTTCTTCCTTTTGGTGAAGGGCGACATAATTAATTGCCTCGAGGAACTTTCTTACTTAAAGGTGGATATCGTGAGTTATATTCTTTTCCTCTGTACTTGAACGATTTAAAAATTAAAATTTGTTAATTTCAGCTTGCCGATCATATCAATGCATTATCGACAGATTCTGTGAGCGTCCAGGTATACGTTTGCGCAAAAATGAGGGCAAAAATTGTATCCGAGGTGAACGTGAATATAGATCTACTCCAGGTATGTAGATTTTGTTTGTTTGGAAAAAAAAAAAAAAAAAAAAAAAGAAAGAAGTAAAGTAAAGAGAGGATTCTTATTTGCTCCATGTATAACTTTCCACCAAGAAATGTTCCACCAAGTGTACGGATATTCTGGCGAAGATTTGCCGCGTGGTCAGCCTGGCAAATTTGCATATGTGCTTTCCAAGGTCGAGTTATTGGAGGAAAGGTGGCGACGTAGCCCCGGTGGCGGCTAGCCTCTACGTGCAGCCTTACTTCGGTAAGAAAATCCCTTTCACCCTTTCGCTCTTGATTCTCTAAGAGGCTCTCGATTCTCCGTAGAGAAAGTATTGCTCCCTGTATTGGAAGTTATCGAGGATCCCGATACGTCGAACATGATCCTGAAAATTATGTGCGAAGCTTGGTTGGATTACATATATCTGCATCGAATTAAATTTAGGTAAAAAAAAAAAAAAAAGAAAATAAAAAAAAGAAACTCTGGCTTGTCTCTTTATATGTCGATGAAACGGGATGAAATAAAATAGATCAGTGTTTTCTACGATCGAAGGAATATTTTCTAGCGAATATGGCGCGTTGCAATTGCTCACGGACTTCGCTTACGTGTCGAAATGGGTGACCAATTGTCCGATAATTTCTCAGAACGTACGGGATCATCTTTTAAAGAACGAAGTGTTGCGAAGATGCGAGGGGGTTGGACGATTGCTTCTTCGACATCCTGGCGAGGCTATCTCCATGCGCAAACGACTTGGTAAGAATGGATGCAAAATTAAAATTACGATTGGTTTTGTTGCGGATCTTTTATTTTAGATTTATGCGCGTTTAAAATTTAAACGGTATAAAAATACAACAGGAAAAATATCCGTTCATAGAAATTTGATTCTCCACAAATCTATCCTTAATTTAGACTTTACATTTTGGATTTGATATTCTTCGATGCACAAATTTAAATTATGAATCAAATTTTGAAAGTTCGTGACAACAAAAAATTACGTAAAAAAGATCTATTATAAAAAAAAAATAAAAAAAGGAACATGGACTACTTTAGTCTTAGTATTTGGTATTATTTCATTTCGAAAACTAGATTGAGAGAGAATTCTATAAATACTTTCATATTTTATATTTATTAAAAAGATGAGTCATCGGTCATGAAAATCGAAATGTGCAAAAATATAAATTCGTCTTTATCTTTTTTATTGAAATAAGAATCGAACCATTGAATTGTTACAAACAATTTCATACGATACGAATCGTGACTGGTGTAAATCCAAAAATATAGAAATGTAAATTCGCATCTAATTTTATATCTTCGTTTAACGTTTCAGCTAGAAGAACAAACGAGCGTGGATCGCCAGAATCCCCTGGATTGGAACGGATGCCGGCGGAAATGTACGTGCCCAACCAGGAACAATGGTTGGAGCTTCGCGCCTCGAAGAGATATAATTTTTGCTGTACCGAATATTGACCAAATAATATTTCAACGAATTTATTATTATACTCTCGAATCAATCGTGAGATATTAAAACTTAGATTCATATCGTTTGTTTCTAAAAATGTTCCTATCCTATATATTTAAAGATTGTCGATGTTTCGATGATCAAGTTTCTAATTACGTTTCGCATCTGTGGTTATATGGCAAAACTTGATACATCCTACGTATAATTTTACGATTAAAATCACAATGCTGTTAGGAAATACGTCTCTTAAGTGTCATAAATCTCAATTAAATATACACAATAATCTGAAAAAGTATTCGCAGACCATTATACTTATACAACAATTTATATAACTTATATAGCAATATAATAACATTAATCATGTTGTCATTCAAATTGTACTTTCCTTCTTTCAAATTTTATAAAATTATACTACACTTTTACAATTATCTGGAGGAAAGAATTAAAATAAATATAGTTTTAACATCGTCATCTAACATCTACATTTTTATCATAACACTTACATTTCACGAAAATTTCTCTATTTTAATTGCTCTTAAACGCACACATATATATATCACAATCGACTACAATACTTTTTACAAATTATTATCTAAAAAAAATCATTCGAATAACTCAATCCCATCCCCATTGGTAAAACAGAGATGATAATTCATCGGGCGGTAATTTCAAATAATTGAAGAATAAAAGAACGACGAATTACGTAATAACACGTATACTTCCGACAAAGCTCATTCTCTCACGAATTCTCCATTTTAATTGCTCTTAAACGCACACATATATATATCACAATCGACTACAATACTTTTTACAAATTATTATCTAAAAAAAATCATTCGAATAACTCAATCCCATCCCCATTGGTAAAACAGAGATGATAATTCATCGGGCGGTAATTTCAAATAATTGAAGAATAAAAGAACGACGAATTACGTAATAACACGTATACTTCCGACAAAGCTCATTCTCTCACGAATTCTCCATTTTAATGCTCTTAATCGCACACATATATATATCACAATCGATTACAATGCTTTTTACAAATTATTATCTAAAAAAAATCATTCGAATAACTCAATCCCATCCCCATTGGTAAAACAGAGATAATAATTCGATCATCGGGCGGTAATTTTAAATAATTGAAGAATAAAGAACAACGAATTACGTAATAACACTTATATATACTTCCGACAAAGCTCATTCTCTCACGAATTCTTCGCGAAGCCCAACCAATACGTCGAAAGAAACCTTTTCTCGCGCATTACGTTACGCATGGATTATGGGATAAAAGAAAAGGAGGGGGGCGGAGGGGGCGCTACACGAAAGCTAAGCCGTCGACCTCTGGCTGATACCAGTCGATTCCTCGTTGCCCCTACACGATGAAACGATACGGATTATCGTCGCTCGGTTAATTTTCGCATTCGATCGAGTTAATTACACGCGTTTACGACGCGTCGAAGATTGTAATTAGCGGTGGATGCGCGACGATCGATTCACCGGTTCACCAGGCTTTCATAATTACTACCTGCCTAGCCACACGTGGGGAAAGCAGAGATAGATAGAGAGAAAGAGAGAGAGAGAAAGAGAGAGTGAGTGGATAATCAACAGGGAGCTCGTTGATCGCCGATTCGACGACAGAGGGTGGTCATCAGGGCTTCCACCGATTATCGAATCGATTTTTGCCGTTCAAGTGTGCGAGTGTCGCACACTTCGAACCGGTGATTCGTCCGATGATTGTTGACTGCAGAAAGAATTGAGTGCGAAAATGTGAGTGAATTGCGAGTTTTTATAAATGTGATACGATATTTGTTGTGTAACGTGAATAGTAGATTTTTAAGAAAAATATCTTCGATGGAAAAAATCGAAAATGATGGACAGAGTTGCTTTTTAATTCTCTTTGCGTGAGCTTTTAATTTCCTGTTCTTTTTTGTTTATATAGCTTGTTATAGATTGAAGGATTCATCTTCAAGTTTTCTTAGAATCCTTTTACATGTACAAAGTTTTCAAAGCTTCTAATGTTTTTTTCCAAAAGAATCATAAGGTGTGTGCGTCGTAGTGTGGCCATCTGGTTTATCAATTTATTTTAAAATACAAAAGTATTCGATCATCATAAATCGATCTTTGTTTCTCGGCCTCGATCCACTCATAAAAACACGATAAGGCGACTCGTGTTTCATTCTTAGCCATCGATCCTCGATTCTTCTTATATAACCAGTCGACTTGTAGATCGAGTATGCACACGCACGCTGGAGGCTATATTTATTGGATATCTTGGACAATAAGCGAGACTCGTCAAAGTATTCAAATCTGCCTCACTCACCGTGAACAGTGTGAGGACGATTTGAGGGTGATCTGAGGATTAATTGCCCCTCTCTTCGATCGTTGCACTTGTTCTTGTTACTTTAATAAGAATTCAGAAACTCTTCCCGCACTTTCAATATCATTTGTACGATTTTTATTTCGTGGAAATTTTTAGGGGATTTTTCAATATTTTTTTTACAATTTACAAGAATATCGTTATAGATATATTCATTATATTATACACATTTGAAAAAATTTTAATCACGGTTGATTTTGAAAGTTCCAAGTGTTTGAAAATTTATACGATGTTTCAACACGTGCCGGGATTAATTTCGTTCGTATCGTGTTTCGCCTGTGTTTACCGATATTTCATTTTTTCTTGGGTAAGAATAAGTATCGATCCTATCTTCGTCTTCAACGAAATCTTGATTTAAAACTCATTGTTACGAGATCGAATCTCTCAAACTTTCGATAATATATATTAATAAAAAAAAAATCACAATCCTCGATTTTATCCAATTTTAAATTACTCGATTCTAAAATATACCAATATTGTATATCAATAAAATTCAGAAAATAAGAAGAACTAGAAATATGATTAAATTTTATAGAAAAATGAATCAAGAAATGATCAATCGATCGATTGACTTTGAACACGATCTGAACAAAAATCAAAAATTCGAATGGAATAGATTAAACCTACTTTCTCAAATACACTTTCGCACCAAGGAAGGAAGGAAAACGTAATTTTCAACTAATTTTCAATTAATTTGTCCAATAAGAGGAAATTGTCTGATGTCAATTTTTCTCACGAATGAATGCAGGGTGGAAAGTGAGAAGCTGTGGCTCGCGACGCACTGACAGGAACGGGAGGGCAAGCGTCCATTGGTACCACCGGAACTTCCGCCAATTCCTCCGCGGTAAGCCGAGTCGACTCGAGCGGTGTCGAGCTGCGAAACCCGGCTCTGATCCTCGGCCGTTGTCCAGTTAGCTTTTGATCGTCGGCGAATCACGTTTTCCATTCGCTGGCCAGGCGAGGCTTGCGACATGTACACGAACAGGTGCGTGAACGAGAGGACATTCCTGACCAGGCCTCTGGACTCGCCGGATTACGTGGAATTCGCGAGTTTGCTGAGAAGCAGGAAGACCCGTATCAGACAGTTCCAATGTTGTATCTGCGCCACTTTGATGTGAGTTCGTTTATTATTATTTCATTTATAGTTATTAGGACGAGAAAAAGTTTTTAGAAAGTTTTTGTAATGAAACGAATTGTGGAAAATTTTTATTAGGGGATTAGGGGGTTGAGTTTGTTGCAGAGGCAATTTTGAAAGATTATTTTTTTAATTGGAAAGAGGATAGAGAGAGAGATTGGTTGTTTTTGTGTACTTATTTATTATTAAAAAGAAAATTTAAGTAAAGATTGGAATTTTGTAAAATGAGTATAAGTTGTCCTTAATCTTTTTATTTTTATTTATATTTCAAAGAGAATCTCTTTTTGTTTTAAATATCTTTTAATTATCTTTCTTTGTATAAGTGTAATGTATATATTTTTTCTCTTTGAAAGAAATAATATACGTATAATATATTGCAATTATAATTACCAATAATAAAATATTATTTTCTATCGATGAATGTTCGATGCACTACGTGTTAAAATACAACAAATGCATCTGGACAACATCAATCCGATATTTGACCGCGTTAAGAATTTGCGTCTTTAATTAAGCGCGTTTATATAATTACCAGAGATATGCGTTGCACGTGATGTAACGTAGATACACGTATAATTAATCACAATCAAATAAACAGGTCAAAGAATCAAAGAATCCAACCAATTAATTTAATTATTTCTTTTCACTGAAACAGATTTTCTAAAAAATCTTAACAAGATTTTTTTAAATTATACCTCCTTAAAAAAAAAAAAAAAAAAGAAAACCTCACAAAAAAAGCTTCTTCAATTAACCATCGTCATCACGAGACTCTTCGTCGTAGCAAAAAGAATTTAAAAAAAATTACCAAAAAAGAATTTTTTCCCATTTTGATATCGTGACAATCGCTGTAATCCAACTCTTCGATTCAATTTTTCCACCCCGCAACGAAGTTTCCTTTCGATTTCCATCCGTGTCTCGACAGAAAGAAGGAAATAAAGAGAAGGAAGAGAAAAAAAAAAATGATCGTGTCCCCACCGTAAGCGGATACTTATGTAAAATCATCGCTCACCTCGAACCACCGGCCGCCATCGTTTCAGTGTGGTCGTGGTCTCGACGACGAGTGCGCGTGCAAACGGAGAGACATGCCTTCCTCGGAGAAGACTTCGTTGACCGGCGATAATCCGACCAGGGTTTACTACGGTCAAGATGCGTTGCCGTTTTATTCCCATACGAGGAGACAACTGTTGCGGATTCGATGTATCGCGTACACGATCGCGGTGTGAGTCGTATTCTATTGCGTTTTTTTAAAATAGTTGTAGATTTATTTTTTGATTAATAATGGAAGACAATCTTTATTGATCCCTAAATTGGGTAAATAATTAAAGATAAGTATGTACGCGAGAGCGTGCATTGAAATGAAATAAATTAAATAATAATATTTGTTATTAATTTAGAAAAGTACGAATCAAGTGATCGATAAGGATGGAAAATAATATGGAATTTGTTAAATAATTAAGATTACAGATAGAATTTTTCAAATAAAAATCTTTAAAATAAATGAATTATAAAGTAAATTGCATAATAATTGTATAATATACTTCTACTCGAGAGGTATTAGATTATCTTAAAACTTCAAAATGGGATTATTATATTACCTCATGATTTTATTTGATAACAACGGATTTAATGTTGGAGAATTTAGATAATGATGGAATGCACAATTTTGATGCATTCGATCGAATTGATTTAGCTAGAAGAGTTTGAGAAGAAATGAATTGATAACGAATATCATTTATATAAATACAAATTAAGATTCTATATCAATATCCTATCACAGAATATCGCACAATATCTTACTTTTAAAAATATCAACTCTGAATATCTTCTAACTTTTATAATAATCACAACAGATTCTAATTTTCAATTGAATTAATTTCTAATTTCTAATTGAAAATTTAATCGTCCGCATTTAGAACACATTTTTCATAGGATTGGAAAACTTTAACGTGTAAAGGGGATACCGTGCAATGACGAAACCTCTCGTGGTTTCTCTGTTGCGGTTTCTCTGTGCGAACAATATGAATACACACGACAGATCAAACGAGAATCATATCCCCAGATCGATTAGATAGAATATTCGATTTTGCAAGCAAATATCAATATATGCCGTTATTTTCTTCCTCCCCCCCCCCTCCCCGAGAATGATCTCGGATATAACGATAAAATGGCGTCGCCTTTTCTTCGACACGCAATATGGCGGATATTAAGGCCCTTTATCAAATTTACAGGATGAAATGGCGTGTAATGCGTTTACGAAGCGCAAACAACAGTCTTAGATTTGCGCGTAGGATTAGAGTTACGTGACGTTGGCCTTGATTACATGCATAATTGTACGATGACAGTATGGTTGTTCAACCGCTCGAGCAACTTCTTCCAACGATACATCAATTAATTGCTTCTTCTTAGATTAATTCTCTGGAAATTTCAGAAATTCGTTCCTAGATCGTTAAAAGAAACTTTTTTAACGAATAAGGATAACTTATATATATATATATATATATTTTAATAAATTTCAGAGATTCTTCCAATGCATTAAAATTTCTAAAATTTTACGTACCACGAAACGAATACTCTTGTTTCAGAGCGATCTTCACCATGGCTCTCGTAGTGACAGTGAGCTACTCCGTGAGCCACGACATGATGGATGTAGGATCGAATCTGACGGCCGTTTCATTCGACTCGAACGCGAATCTTACCAGATCTTTGAAAAAAGTGAAGCTAGGCTTCGCCCCTGGATCTGGTTCTTACACGTTGTTCAACAACCCTTCCACCGTCCCTTCCAATTCCATCTTGCCTGATCAAACGTCGAGAGGAACCGCGACAGGGAGATTGTCCAAGGAGGAGGTGAGGGAGGGGTTGAAAGCCGGTCGCCAGGCGGTCAGCGAGCGACTCTTCACGGACGCTTCAACGTCACCTTTGCCCTCACCGTCGCCTGAGATCAGGCATCGTCACGCGGTCAGCACGTGCGTCGACGCCGGCACGCTTGCCCTGGCCGCTGTTGCCGAGCTTGCGGCGACCAGGAAGATCGAAAACTTGAGGGCAACTCGGGGAGGGCCGTCTGCCATTGGAAGCTTCTTCGACGCAGGGTGGAAAATTTTCGGTAATAAAATAATTCCTCCAATTCACAAACGATTGGTTTAAAACGCGGGCCTCGCTTCGTTTCAGGCGCGTGCAAGCGACTGGCTACGCCCGACTGTCCACCCACCGCCAAATACAGGACCCTCGACGGAAGTTGCAACAGGCCTATGCAGATGGGAGTCGCGATGACACCCTTCATAAGACACCTGCCCCCTGATTACGGGGACGGCATCAACTCGCCCCGCAAAGCGGCTTCAGGCGCCGATCTACCCTCGGCGAGGGAGGTCAGCCTGATAGTGCACAAACCTTCGCCGAGCAGCAACCCGAGTTTCACGGTGATGCTGGCCGTTTACGGCCAATTTCTGGACCACGATATCACGGCAACTGCCCTCAGCCAAGGTCTGAACGGCACCTCCATTCCGTGCTGCCCACCGTCCAACGCCCATCCCGAGTGCTTCCCCGTCCCAGTCTCCTCCGGAGATCCCGTGTTCGACGTCGCGGGAAGAAGCTGCATGGACTTCGTCAGATCGGCCCCGGCACCCCAGTGCAAACTCGGCCCCAGGCAACAGTTGAACCAGGTAGAAACAAATCAAAACTCGATCGATCGTCTTCGATTCTCCTCGTTTCCCCAATTAATTCAAATTCGTCGATAATATTAACTCGTAAATCGTAGTTGAAAATCGTAATTCTTGGCGCGCGAAATTGCAGTCGAGATCGATGAAAAATTTCCCCCGGAACAATAAGCTCGCGCCGTTAACAACGCTGTTAATTAACCTCATTATATTCGACGAGTTCCGTTATAATCACGCGTTCGTTATTCCTCCACCCCTGATAATAATAACGATTCTCGATGGAAACGATAAAGGACACGATAAAGAGATTGATAAACTCAATTTTATCCCCTTCGAAAAAGAGAGAGAGAGAGAGAAACGAAAGACGTTCTTTTTTCATTTTGCAGGTATCTGCGTTCATAGACGGATCGGCGATTTACGGGGCGGACAAGAGCGCGGCCGAGAATCTGCGTGAGTTCAGGGGCGGCCGTTTGAGGATGCAACTGACCCCCGACAATCGAACCCTCTTGCCAGCTAGCACGGATCCCAACGACGGGTGCAACCGTGAAGCCGAGAGACGTAGGGGGAGGTACTGTTTCGCGGCAGGCGACGCGAGGGCGAACGAGAATCTCCACTTGACCACGATGCACCTGCTGTGGGCGCGGCAGCACAACAGGGTGGCCGAGCGACTGGCGAGGATCAACCCCTCGTGGGACGACGAGACGCTTTACGAGGAGTCGCGACGCGTGATCGGCGCCCAATTGCAACACATCACGTATCGAGAGTTCGTGCCAATAATTCTGGGCGATCGGGAGACGGATAAGAGGGATCTAAGACCCCTGACGTCTGGTCACAGGGGGTGGAAATTGGACAGGAACGACACGAGCATCGACCCGAGTGTAGCGAACAGTTTTGCTGCGGCCGCGTTCAGATTCGCCCACACCTTGTTGCCCGGGTTGATGAGGATGACCGACGAGAGGGGGGCCACTTCCTCCTACGTGGAGTTGCGCCGAATGCTGTTCAACCCTTACAGCCTGTACGCGGAGGGGGGGTTGAAGAGTTCCATCACATCCGCGGCTAGAAACGTGATCCAGATGACGTCCGCTCACGTCACCTCTCAGCTGACCAATCACCTGTTCGAGGACCCAGTCGCGAACACGACCGTCCCATGCGGCCTGGATCTTGTCTCGTTGAATATACAGCGTGGAAGGGATCACGGGCTTCCAGGTTACACAGCGTGGAGGGAGTATTGCGGATTGGGAAGGGCGGAAAGTTTCTCCGATTTGGAGGGCCACCTAGATCCACGAACTCTCGAGGATATCTCCTCGTTGTACGAGTCCGTTCACGATATCGATCTGTACACGGGGGCTCTGGCCGAGTTGCCTAACGCTGGTAGCATCGTTGGATCCACTTTCATGTGTCTGATCGCCGACCAGTTCGTCAGGTTGCAGAGGGGGGACAGGTTTTGGTACGAGCTGGGTGGACAACCTCATTCGTTCACCGAAGGTAAGATTTCTTTTTTTTTTTTAAATTTTAATCTTCCAACAAACCTTCCCTGTCGATATTTCCTCTATGGATACATGGAATACGTGAACGACAGGCAGATGAATTTTCTTCTTTTTCTTTCTAGATCAGCTTACCGAGTTGCGTAAGATGTCGCTGGCGAGGTTGATTTGCGACTGTTCGGATGAGATAGGACAGATTCAGGCGGAAGTGATGCGAGCGGTCAGTCCGGAGAATCCCGTCATCTCTTGCGAGGATATACCAGCGCCATCTTACGAGCCGTGGAAGGAAACCGAGCAAGCAGGATCGTTGGATTGGACAGGTTTGAGGAACGATATTAACAACACGATCGAAGAGATCGTGGCTTACATCAACAACTCCAGGACGAGTTTGGACGCCGATTGGGCGGCGTTTAAAAATTACATGAGCGATACGTTTTCCGATCTTAGAAACCAATTGTCCGAATTGCATTCGCCGGACGATGGCCAAGAAACGCCCAAGGAAAGATCGGATTCCGAAACTGGAGCAATGAACGCGTATCGATATTGGATCGGTTTGAAAAGTAACGTGACGAGATCGTTGAATCGGTCTATGCGAACGATGACTGGAGGGCCAGCCGCGGTGACCAAGTGGTTGGCGTTTAAACGAAGCGTGGTCGATCAGTTTGCCAATTTGAAGGATGAGATCGCGGCTATGAAAGTAGATGTTGCGCCCAAATTGGCGATGAAGAAGAGGTACGAGCAGGAACAGGTTTCGAATAGTTCGAGAATGAACGACACGATTCCGGCAATCTTCGATTGGAAGAACTTCAAGAGCAACATAATATCGTCCTTGAACAACACTATCACCAATATAAGAGGCGACAAGTACCGATTTTCTGCTTTCAGGGACGAAATCGGTAGCCAGAGATCCGTTGAACCGAAGGAATCGAACGCGTCCTCCGATTGGTTGACGTACAAAGATCATATCGTCGAAACGATGAACGAGATCGTGAATAAAATCAAGAACGGGATGCCTCCCCCCGGCGATCCAGCTTGGGCCACGTACAGAAACGAGATTACGAAAAGTTTCTCCAACTTGGAGGCCATCTCGAGGCCATCTCTGGAACGCGCCACGTTGTCCAACACGAGAGAAAACGTTCGTTATCGTTCAACCGCCTCCGCACCAATTATTACGAGTAACAACGTGTCCAATCTGACTGTCGATTGGTCAGAGTTCAGGGCCCGAATCAACGATTCTGTGACCAGGATGATCGAGGGTATTCTGAGCAAGAGACCTACGGAGATCGATCCGATCGCTTGGGCAACGTTTCGAGCCACGGTCAATGACGAATTCGCTAGGCTGAGAAGCGAAATCGAGAGCATTAGAGACGAGTGGTTGGGAACGAAAACTGGCGGAGGAGATGAATCCTCGTTGAATCTACGACGAAACTTCAAATATAATTACTTCGATTCGCTCGTCGTTCCTTCGAGGGAGGAATGGGACGATTTTAAGAAAGGGATCAACGATACCGTGATGAATATCCTCACCATCGCCAATTCGTCCGACGAGTTCAGTTTCGACGAGCTTCACAGGATGTTCAATCGATCTTTCACCGATCTCAAGGATCAGCTGTCGTGTTTGAGAACGTTGATCGAGGAGACTTACAATAACGAGACGGCCGCCGATTGGCTCAGCTTTCAAGCGCAATTGAATTCCACGGTGAAGGATCTGGTCGATGGTTTGACGAACGACGATCAGTTGTCCAGCGAAGATGCGATGTGCGTGCTGCTCAAGGCAGAAGACGAGTTGTCTAACGTTCGATTGCCGGCGAATTCGGCCTCGATTCCGCCGCCCGATTGGATTCGATACGCGTCTCACGTGAACAAAACGATCTCGGACGCTCTGAGAAACGTCAACGACTCTAGGGATCATTATGGGACGATGATGCTCAGAGCGGAAGAGACTATAATGACATTCTCGTCATCCAACGATCTTGAGAAATTCAAAACGAATTGGTTAATCGTTCCTTGCCTTCTTGCCTCGTTCACAACGATATCAAAGTTCCAAATTCGCGTGTAAATTTTTCTTTATTTCAATTATTGTATATATATATATATTCTATTGTTTATAGAAACAGACTTTTATTATATACTATATACTAACCAAGATAAGAATGAGAATATATCAGGAAGAATGGAAGGGAAGTGACAATGTCAGTTCAAAAGTTTTTCTTTTCTAAGATTCTACTTGAAAAAAAGAAAAAAAAAAAAAATGGTGACACTCCGATGGATTTTGATATTCAATACAATATTTGCAAAATTATCAAAATCCATAAGGGGAGGTTTCGATTCTAACTTAAACTCAAAAGTTCTAACTTAATTCTAATATAATTAATTAATTGATCGATTAATTATTATTAATAATAATAATAATAAAAAAAAAGAAAAAAACTACCAACAGTAAACGATTAATCTACGTGGCAAGACTCAACAACAACGCGGTGCCTCTTTTTATCCAGAAATCCGATCCTTCGGGACCCGAATTCAAATCGACCGCCACAACGAATGCAGGTCGTCCCTGATCCCCGCATCTCTGAGGATAATAGTAACAGGGACAAGAGTAGAGTCCTGCGAAAGAAAAAAAAGGAAACGAAAAGAAAACATCGTTTGTGTTCCATCCCCAATATTTTGTCGTCGTTTACCTCTGGTTCTCTTTCTAAGGAGTTCCGCGGGCCGGAAGTGAATCACCGGCATGTTGCAAATAAGTTGCATAGGAGCCGGCTCGATGAGGACGCTACCCCTCTTGTCCCAGCCCGCTCCTTCCAGATATATGGAGCGTACGTACACGCCGTCCTGTAATGGAATGTACACACAGTTAAGTGCATTGCGCACACATATATCTCGTCCTAGAGATCCCCCTCCTCCTATCTTTCCAAGCCTCGATATCGAAGAGGCTTACGGCGATTTCTGGGATAAGAATCGTTTCATTTCGATTTAATAAAAAGAAATCTTAGATAAATATTGCTTCTATTTTTGAAATGTGTATTTGTAGAAATTTTACCCTAATTTTCGTTCCATCAAGGGGAGGAGGCAACGTTATACGCAACATTTTGGACGATTTTGGACGAGGGTTGAAATAGGTTCGACAATTACCATTGGTGGCTCAACAATGGCCGACTCGTCGATCGTGAAAACGGTGAATTCCCAGGACAGGGTGTCTATAGACACGTTCCACATCCTGGCAGACATCTGTAATACGGCGGTGAGGAAACCGGTTGGGAAAGTGTACGCGGCGAGCCAGAACAGGACCGGTGCATGAGTGGTTAAGGCCCATTCGTTGAAGTGTTCCACCCTGTTGACCAAATCCCTGGTCCAGGCGCCCAACAGCTTCAACGAGGGATACGCCATTAGCCAGATCGGGGGGACACGGCCCTCGAACACGCAGAAGAATATCTCCTCGAGTTCATGGGACATCAGTATCAAACCCTTGATGGCCAATTGGAGCTCGTTCAAGCTGTTCCGTGTATTTTGCAGCAGCACGTTGTATCGTTGTATCTCTTGGAGCAGTACAACGTCCAACGGTGTCTTCTTTGGCCCTATCAACTTCACGGTCGCCTCGTAATCGATGTTGTCCGGTATTTTTGATAATATGTCCGAGGTTAATTGATTTACCTTGAGAAGAATCGATCGATTGATCGGGGCGGGAAAATTGTTATTGGTCACATTGAAGAATATGAAAAATAATATGTATAAGATACACAAGTTTATATAAAATTTTATAAAACTATTCTGAAGAAATGAAGATTCGAAGATTCTACAAAGTTTGACATACTTTCTCCTCTTTGCTAACTTCCTCTTTCGTAACAGTTTGGACCTGGAGTTCCATCAAAGTTTCGAACATATTTCTAGTCTCCATGATTAAACAAGTGATGTCCGCGTTCGGGTGTTGACCGAATGCTTCCGGTTTATCGATGGTAGGTAAAACAGCTATGAAATCTAGGTAGGACCCCAACGAGCCATCCTTCGGTATGTAATAGGTCGGTAGCGATGACAAACGATAATTAGGGACAGTCAGGGCCTCCTCCGTGAAATATTGTTGTACGTATGTCATTAACAATCGGCGGTCCCAATCGTCGGTCACGTGGCCGCCGTAACAAACACCCGCTATGAGATATTTCAGCGATTCCCAAGGAGTTTCCGGATACTCGTCCAGATATACCTGTAGAAGGTTCTCCGACACCTATTTTTCGAGATAATATTAAAATATCAAAAATCGAATCGTAGAATCGATGTTTCGAATCAAACGAAAAAGGACCAGAACATTTTACTCGGATATTTCCAAATATCCTGGCCGATCGTTGAGCCGAATCGAGTGATCGAAATTACCACAAAGTCGGAGTCGTTGAAGCTGTAGATGACGTTCCAGCCCAATTGTTGAAACTTTTTACGCTCGAGGAGGATCGCGTGGAAGAATACGAGGGCGAACAGAAGCTTCTTGTACTTGGACTTTGCCTGGCAGAGCTCGAACTGGTACTCGGTCATCAAGCTGTAAAGCCGTTTCATGTTTGCCTTCAAACCTTTCGGCGGTTCCGTGGTCATCTTTATACCGGCTTGGAGGATCGATATGGGGAACTGGGGAGTCGGACTGGAGCTAAGCCACAACCTGCAATCGGTCGGAAACCCCTTTCATTATCGATTCGCGCGACGACGACAACCACGATCTAACCTGAATTGCGGATGAAGGGTTTTACTGGCCCCCAACATTTCCACGATCTTGTCCAATTTCGGCATCCAGCTGAGGGACAAGTGGCAGTTCGCCAGGAACACCCAGGCACCTTCCTTTGCCCCCACCTCTATCATCCTGAAAAGTAAATATTTTATCTCAGATAGGAATTAACACTATCAACTTTACCCTCTTCTTCCTCTTCTTGATAATAATAACGAATCTCTTTCTATCGATCAATATAAGACACAACATCCTCAACATTTGAAATTTGGAATTGTTTCTTTGAGGAGAAATACCGACCTGGTGGCGATAGGCGCCTGTCCCTGGCCCAGGGACAGTGTCATAAAGTGTTTAGTCATTTCCTGGCTGTCGACTAGCTGCATCAGGCTGCCTGTAGGATCCACGCCCGGGGAGAGGACGAATATTAGGGGAGTTTGTGCAATGGAATCGTCGAGCACCGACTTGAGATCGAGGACGGGCGGCTCGACGAATCTTTGGCCGAGGTTCAGCACTATAAAGTTCGCTATACAAAAGGAAATTCTGTCCGGGCGACAGCTACGTATTATCAGCATCTTTTGGAACACGTTACAATTCATTTCCCATTCGGACACCAACGGCGTGTTCTCCGGCTCCGTGGCGATGTACCTGAAATTTTCGAACGAAACGGAAGTTACTTACTTACTTACTTGGAGATTTCAATCGTATACCAGATGTTCCAATCCCGCGGGAATTGCTCGAACGATGAAATGAGACCGTGAAACCCGGGCAACTTATCCAGTTCCGTGATATTATCCCAAGTTTCATCGGGCAGCCAAGCCACCGGTTTATCGGGCTGGGCCTCCCTGTCTAGGACGATTCCACCCCGAAGCAGGAACGCGTATTCGCTAGGGATGATCTTGCCCTGGGCGTCCAGGATTTTCATGCACATGTTGAACGAGAACAACAACTTGTGCTGCTCGAACAGACCTCGACAGGTATTCCTTGAAAGGTGTTTCTCAATTATTATTACGAGACGTCGATACTAGCGCCACGTTGCCATTAACTACCGGTAAGTAAGTAAGTAAGTCTATCAATATCTAAAAATTTCGATCGATAATTTTTCTCGAATCTTAATCATTCAGGTTATTATATATTATATATATATATATTAATCATTCAGGTTAAATTTATTTACAATTTGTATAATTGAGCTCGATCGACCGATATTTTTCTTTTCCTTTCCAGAATGAATATTCCCTTACTTGTACAAGGCGTAAGTGTGATACTCGTTCAGGCTCTCTATCCTCTCTTCTATTTTAATACTCTTCGTGCTTTTGTCGATGGACAGCTTGAACAGGGTAATGTACGCGTCCAACGAGAACTCGTACATCGGATCGATATGGCTCATTTCGTTGAGAACGAAGAAGAGGATCGAGGCACGATGGGCGCACGGCCTGTACTCCTCCCTCGCGAGATCTATCTGTTTCTCGGTCTCCTCGGAGACGACCAACGACTCCTCGATCGAGATTGAGGTCGCCTTGGACGACTGGAGGGCGCTCAGTAAATCCAGATCGTCCAGAAGAGTGTCCCCGGCCACGCTCAGCAAACTGAGGCAGAGATCGCAGATACGGTTTAGTCTCGGCGCGTGTTTCTCCCCCTTTTTAACCCTCCTTGTACTCTTCTTGGGTATTATTATCAGACAGAGTAGGAAAGAGTATCATATCTTACTATAGTATTCTGTCCTCGAGCTCTTTGAGAGTTCGTTTATTGGAAGCGATCGTGTACACCAGATTGTCCTTCTGTTCCTCGAGTTGGGGCTTCTCTTTCCTGACCACGATCCCCAAAAGCTGGGCTTCCAGTCCTGCGCACGAGATAATAAGGTTCCTCCCGCAAAGTTCCTCACCATCTCCCTCCCGCTCGCGTCCCATCCATTCCCGCCCTCTCTTTTCATTTCATTCTCTCACCGTTCGCCCCATCTTCACGCTTTTCTAACGTGACTAAGACAATTAATTACCCTCTTCCTTAATAGCGAAGTTGCATAACGTCGTTTTGGTGGATATCTCCGGGGCGTAATGGGGGTTCGCGAGTTTCGTGGTGATGAACAGCCGGAACTTGTCGTGGTAACTGATCATCTTCTCGTTGAACTTGATCATTATCTGATCCTCTGCGTCGCGGAAACGAAAACGGAACGATCGAATTCTATCCTCGTTTTGTTTCCCCGTTTGGCTCATTATTTACAATTATATACGCTCACCTACTTTCACGAATGCCCGATCGAGAATCGGATTCATCACAGGGTCTATAGTCTCGCCGATATTTTCGAGCAGAACAGGCATGCCGAATTGGAGGGCGTATTCCAACACCCTGACGAAATCTGGTTGGCCAAAGTCGATCACCTTCAACGTCTGTCAAATTAATTAATAAATTCGTTAATACGAATTTCTTCTTTTATTCTTCTTCTTCTTCTTCTTGTTCTTCCGGATGCATACGTTCCTGGCCTCCATGTTCTTGATCCATTTCACCGCCTGGCACTGTGGATCGATCACCAACGGCCATCTCGTTCCCCTCGTCACTATGATACCATTCTCGGTACTGAAATCGTCCGAGGGTAGCCCTTGCATGTTCCAGTCCCTGATCAACGCCGCATCGGCCAGGAATTTCGTCACGTAGAGGTCAGGCGACATTGGGATCTCTTTATCCATCACCTTTCGAATTAATTTCGATCGACAATCAACGACTCTTCGAAATTCAAAATGGAAAGTATCACTCTGATTCGCGCCCCACCTCTTTCATCCAGATGCCTATCAATTCCTCCCTGTAACTGGACACGAACGGACCCAGATAGGAGACGAAGGCGGTTGATATTAGGCAATCACCTGGCAGCCAGTCGAAGAACTCGGCCAAGGATGCGACCGTGTTCTCCCATCGGACCCTCTCGTCCGAGAGGCCGTCGACCAGCATCGCGGCTCGATCCAGTTTCAGCTTCAATAGTTCAGCCTGGTGAAAAACCGAAAACTAGAATTCAATCGTTGAAATATAAATGGAATAAAAATAAATCCAATTTTCATCGAGTTCGAAGGTGGGAAAAATTAAATCGATAGAAGCTAAGCATTAAAACGAAGTTCTGTTTTCTTAATTTATAACGGGTGATCAAAAATTATTATGGACATTTAATTAATTCACTTAGTCGAATATTTAATGTACATAAGTTTCAATTTAATAGACAACTTATTCGAATAAGTGGTTCGCAATTTAATTTGATTCCCCCATTTTGTAACGACAAAATCCAATCAAAATCAAAGTTGCGAACGGAGAAGAAGCGCAAGAGGTAAATATAAAGACAAACACCGTCTTGAGTGGAGGAGGAAAGAGTAATAGGAAAATTCGCGAAAATTCAGGGTAAATAGATGTTTAAATACCGGGAGAGGGAAAGTTTACCGCGAAACGGGAATTCGTGCAAATAGAAACTGTTGGCGGAGTCGCACAAGGGAGGTAAGGTACACGCAAATAGTTCAATTTTATTTAAAATCGAGACGATTATGTTCCGCCACTTGCCAGCTTAATCAATTCTTCTTTCTCCTTCATCTTCGCGTCGTACATCTCCTGCAACACTTGCAGCTTCTCTTGCAATTTCTGCAATTGATACATCGCCTCCTCCAACGCCTTCTCCTTCTCCCTCAGAGATTTCAACGCGGCCTGCAACTTTTCCCTCTTTGGCGCCACCACTCTGAAATTTCATCGACAACTCTTTTCCCCGTTTCCTCCCCTTGAAATTCGTAGAAGAAAGAGAAGTGTATCCTCTTTCACGTCACGTTTGGAAAATACTTTATTTTTAAAAATATTTATTTTTAAAAATTGAAAATAATATTCGTTTCAAAAAAGAAAAAAAAAAAAAAAGAAAGGAATTCGTTTCTTCTCTTCAGACTATTTATAAATGGGATCGAATTGAAAATAGAGAAGGGGAAAGGAATTCTATTTTTCAGATCCTCCGTCCCATCCTCGATAGATTTATCTCCATGGTTACCTGTAAAGCTTCCCGTATTTTTCCATGGCGATGACCCACATGCAGAGCGACTTGGCCGCCACAGACACGAGGCCAACCTTTTCCGGCACGAATTCAGGGTTCGACGTGTACTTGGAAATGGCTCTGAGCGTCCTGTCGGAGATGTTGTCCTTGTCGAAGTCTCGAAGCTGGGCATTCGAAGATGGGCCGTGAAACTCTGTGAAATTTTAGCCTCGGCTAAGGTAAATGGTATCGTTACCGTTGCCAGAAAGTTCACGTCGGCGAGTTGACGCTTCGACTCCGCCCAGCTCGGCTCCGAGTTCTTCAGGATCATCACCGCCTCCATCACCATCTCGACTTTCGGCGGTGGACGCGTGAAAGATCGTATCTCGGATATATCCTTCTTGCTCAACGCTTCCAGTGCCTGTACAACAATTGAACAAGCGATGAATCAAACATATGAAGAAACAGAGATTCTTTCCACTGGAAATTAATTTAATTTCTCGAATTGATTATTTATTTAATTATTAAAAAGAAATATTGTCTTGTCTTGTTTAAGAAAAATATATATATATAATATAACATGGCCTTAGATGTCTTTAGAATTGTAAATTTAACATGCTTTTTTTAATTTACAGAATAATCTTAATTAAACGAAGCGATCAAAGTGATACTCAACATGTTTGAAAAATAATCTGTTCAACGATCGATTGAAAGACGAAACGAATGCAGCGTCGCCGCCATATTGCTTTCGAGACTTTTCCAAGCGACAAAGCAGATCCGAATTTACGTAACACGTCCAATGTTACTGCTCTCTATAAAACGTGGCTGCGAACTTTTGGCCAGGAAACTTTTTACTGACGGCGTGCATAAAACGGCAAGTTGAAGGGACCAAGGGAGAAAGATCGAACTTATTTGTTCGCAAATAATAATAAAAAATATATCTGATACGCCTTCGAACTTTGAGTTGAGTGGCGCTATTTCGATCACGGGCGAAAATTGAATGGGCGCGAGGATGAAGAAAAATTAACGAATACGATACCTTCATAGCCTCGTTCAGAGCCGGTTCAACGGTTGCCAGGTCGGCTCGAGCGATTTCCTCGAGCTTCTTGCACTCCTTCTGCTCCTCCGAGATCTTCTGCGACCGCGCTGTCACCGTCTTCTGCGTTTCGTCCGCGTCGCGACGTTGATTCACTGCGCGACAATTTTTTCGTTCGTGTATAAGAAAGTTAAATTTTCAATTCTCCATGTTGAGGAATATCATTTTTAATTCGATTATATTGGAAGAATAAGAATAGTGATGCATGCCACAAAAATGAATGAAACTTAATATAAAGTGACCTAAGGAAATTAAATTTTAAAGAATATTTTTTTTAATTCGATTTGTCGAACAAAATCAAGAAATTAGAAAAAGAAATTGTGTAAACTTAATATAAAATGAGATAAAAAAGTTAAAAACTCTTCGAATAAAAGAATGTCTCTTTAATTCTTATTATAACTCGAAGAATTCGTGGAACAAAATTAAGAAAGAAAATTCACTGAACGTTAATTTTAGCAAAGGGAAGTGTACGTTTTATCTTATCTATCGTTAAAGAGCAAGAGTGAATTATCATCAATATATATATAATGTTACGAGCTGTCACTCGTGGGTCAAGGATGGATAACAGGGCAAGTTTCAGCCTGTGGTTCGATGTAAATGCACCTAATGACGATACATCAACGTTGAAAGGATGACAGGTACCTATCGTTACCAGAAACTCTTCGCATTCCCTGGTTGATTTATAAACCTGCTCGTGTGTGATTTCCAGCTCCCCAGCCATTTCGTGCACTTTAAGGCGGGTGTCGTCGATCTTCGAGAGACCGCCACGAAGTTTGTTCGCCTGGCCCGCCAAATCGTCCCTCTTCTCCGCGAGCATTCTGTAACCGAGGGCCATCGAGCTGACGTGTCGTTTACCTTCTCCTACCTCTGTTTGGAAACTGTTTCCCAACTTTTACGCAATTGAAGATTTTTGATGCAATTTTTATCAAAAAAAAAAAAAATTGAATTTCTTTGATAAAACATCTCAATTTTATTTCGTATTATTATCACGCGAATAAATCGCGATATAGTGGACAACGATCGTTCTTGTTATATTCATACTCTTCAATTTTACTATCTTAAAAAAAAAAAAAAAGAAAATGTCTCTCATCGAGATCAGAGAGAGACGAGGATGGATCTTGAAGGATAAAGTCGTTGAAAAGTTGCAATATCCAAGGGAATATCTCGTGGCAGTTTCATAAAGATTCGTATAAACAGGGGCAAATTGCAGGTAGTTCCAGTTGGCAAGGAGATCCGCGAATTTTTCAAAAGAGGATCCCTTATAAAAGGGATTTCTCCGGCAACGTTAACCAAAGACTCACATTTTGTAGCCTGCGACCAGCTCGAGGAAATTCACCGGCGTCACGTAATTGTACCGCTTCATCTCGGCGGCCATTCTGCTGGAAAACTGCGACACCGTCTCATGGATCAAGGAGAACGTAGCCGCTATTCCGTCCCGCATTCGTTCCTGCAGCGGCGGCAAAGGAATCGCTGTCGCTGATAATCGAGGCTCCTGTGCAAAACCATTTCGTTCTTTTTACTTCAAATCTAGATCTACACGCGTATATACATACATCTTCCAGCAAATTTTTAAATTTGAATACCGAATGATTACGATCAATTTAGATGTAGATTTAACTTTGCCGATTTTTCCTTGACTTATGAAAGTCAAAAGTGAAAAGATTCGATACAATTTTAAATTTTTTATACTTCATAATTATATACGATTTACGATGAAAATTCAAACTTTCTACATTCATATAAAAATAAAAAAAGAAATTTTTACAAATGGATTCAACATCTTGTAAAATAAATAAAAATTAAAAAAAAACTTAAGAGAGAAATCTCGGATCCTATACTCTTTTAAAGTGGAAGCACGATACGTGATCGTGGCAAATTCGAAAATATTAAACGCCTGGTCGCCGGAAACGCTTTTTTCCTTGACTTAAGTAAGTGAAAATGAAAAGATTCAGTAAAATTTTAACGATACTTCATAATTATATAACGATTTACGATGAAAATTCAAAAACTTCCTACATCCATATAAAAATAAAAAAAGAAATTTTTACAAATCGATTCAACATCTTGTAAAATAAATAAAAAATAAATAAAAATTAAAAAAAAACTTAAGAGAGAAATCTCAGATCCTATACTCTTTTAAAGTGGAAGCACGATACGTGATCGTGGCAAATTCGAAAATATTAAGCGCCTGGTCGCCGGAAACGCTCTTGGACGATTGCATTCCGGAAGGAAGCTCGCCAGACGGAGGAGGAGGAGGAGGGCGAGCCGTCGAGAGGAAAATAATCGGATTCCACGAAATAGAGAGGACGTGGATGCGGTTCTCCCTCCTCCCTCCCCCCTCCTTTCTTGCTTTCTCGAGTAACTCGAGTGTCTCGTGTTCGATTCCAGGGAAATCGGAATCGAATGGGATCGATCGGCCGGAAGGAGGGGAGGGGGAGGGGTGGGGGGGCCCCAAGGACCAACCGGTTTAGTCTCGCCGGTGATAGTGAGCGTCAGATTGAGATTCATGAGGAACTTGTTGCCAACTTCGAGGAGGGCTTCCCTCGGCCATTCCAGGAACCAATCGATGGTCGTGCAGTTGATCAGGGCAGGGTACTGGCGTAATCTGTTCCTGAACGCGTCCCCGATCGGGCTCATGCACACCACCACGTGCATATTGGCACGCGACCGCTCGATCAACAGCGCGTAGATCGTCTCTGTCGTTGGTATCCGTCCAAGCCGCGTCGCCTCCTTTGTCAGTTTATGTTTAATCTGCGAGAACACGGGGTTTTATATTCACCATTTATATTCGTTTCTCGACTTCGTCGATTTTTGATCAAGGGAAGGAAAATAACAAAAATGTCCCCAATTCTTTGTTCTATTTCTGTTGTATTCTTTTTTTTTTTTTTTTTTCAGAATTATGTAAATTGTAACTTTAAACGAAGCAAAGGGAGTATATAGAGATTGATATTCAAGGAAAGGGGGGAAAAATGGAAATGTTGAGAGAGAGAGAGAGAGAGAGAGAGAAAGGTTGTAGTTAGTTACCTCCTCCATCTCGTCGGCTTTGAACAGATTGGTCACCTCGCCGGTACTCAGTATACTGTTCACCACTTCTAGAAACTGTTCCTCGATTACTTGGGTATCGACGAATAGGAACGTGGTGGGCTTGTTCTCCACCCCCGTCTTCGAGTAGAGAGTCTTCAAGTCCTCGCGGAACTCGGGCAGCCTGTAATGTTTCGTGACTGAGATCTGGAAGGTGGCCAGTTCGCACATGTAACTGGCGATACGGCTTAGAGATTGCCTTCCGCTTCCGCCGATTCCTATCAGCAGCACGTGGCCACGCGGCTGTGGGAACAATTTTTCAATTTTTCAACATTCACGATTCTCTCCCACGAGTCCATCCAATATTTTATTCTTTTCTTCTTAAAATTTTTTTTTTAACGCAAAATCAATGGAATTAAAGAACGAACTCGTGAATCACGTTACATGGAGAGAATTGCAAGAAGGAGAAATTTAAAATTACCTGAGAAATAACGCGAAAGATGCGGCAAATATGTTCGACCGCGTCACGGAAAAGAATTAAATTGAGGCGGACGACGCCGCTCGAGGCGTTATAGTCGTCCATTTGATTCTCTATGAAAGTCCTTATGGCTCCTATGTCCGTGAGATCCTCGTATATATCCCAAACGTTCATGAAACTACCTACGAGTCGTCGTGGATTAAGCCTGGATTAGATTCGAGTTACGTACGTACTCGTATAAAGCCAAGTCAGGTACGACTCAGGATTACATTAGGAAGAGAAGGCTAGTCTTAAATCTGGATACCCCCTCATCTTTCCAACGATTTATCTTTTATCTCTTTAATTTTACATTACCGAACAACGGGCTTTTCCTCTCCGGACAGACGGTGGCGAAAGTTACTTCGAAGTATTTTCCAAGTTGCTCCCCGAGTTGATCGACGAACCAATCCCTGTCTCTGAAAGGAAAAGAAAAAATATAAAAATTTTAGAAAATTCCCCCCCTCTCCAAATGATTTACTTTTCATCGATCAGTCGATCGCAGAAGACGCGGAACATCTCGTGCACCCATAGACGGAGGAAGGTTTGCCTCGAGAATTGATAATCCTTGTGACTTCGCAGCAGGCCTTGGAAAACCTGTTGTTTGCCAAATAATAATATTCGAATATCTGGAAAATCGCAGGGAGAGAGGGAGGGGACAGGGTTTCTACCTTCGATATGTCCCTCAGATTGAACAGATAGTGCATCTTTCCGGGGGTTGGCAACATTTTGGTGACCACATTCGTGTACACACCGATGGTGGCAAGCGTTATTTCATTGGCTGAAATTACCCTTAAGATTTAACCCTTTGCACTCGTATATATATTCGATAAGGATACCAATCAAATTTTTTCGAAAGGCTACTACCCATCAACTCGAAATTTTTTTTCATAATCGATCAAAAGGAGAATATTTTTATGCGAACATAATAACATAAATTAAAATTTCCGGTTTAGTAGAAAAAATTAGCAAATAAACATATTTAATCTGCATCTCACACTCTTTTGAAATATGAAAATCTATATAATATGTTAGGGACATCATATTTCTTGAAAACATGATTTTAATTAATTGTAAATAAATTTAATTAAATGAATGTGTTATGTAATATTATCTGGCTATAATTTGACCCCAAATAATGTAAGATGTCGCCTATATGGCGGCATACGAGTGCAAAGGGTTAAACCTTTCGTTACACCCCACCCCCTTTGATATATCTTTCATTCTCGTCTACCTATTCCCTTCACCTCCGAGTGGAATTCGCTGATGTGGTGGTGCAACATTGACCCGTATATCCTCACGATCTGTTTCTCGGCCGGGAACGTCATGTTGATGACGTTGAACTTGGTCAACAACCGATTCGTGATAACGTTCCGCCCACCTCCCGGCGGGCCCATCGACACCAATAATTGCAACTTTTGGATGAACATCTGCGTCTGCTTCTCCCGATCGTACCTTTTTTTTTTTTTTTTAATTAATTTAATAAAAATTCGATAATAAAAATATCGTTTTATTCGAAACGCACCAGAAACCGTATCCTATCCATTGTCGAATCAATTCCAACGGCGGTTGGGAACCGTAGATCTCTTTCATAGGCATGTTGAAGTCGTCCATGAACGCGATCAGAATTTTACCGCCCACGGGCACGTACACTCCCTTGGTCCGTTTCTCGAGCCTGCTCTCCACTATGTCCTGAAATATTAATTTTTCTCTTTTAGCGAGGGGGAGTTAAACGACCAATAATCTTATATGGGTATATAATTGATATTTATTTTGCAATTATTATAACAAATTTTACTCGCCTGCACGTTCTTTGAGGTGGTCTGGGCGGACATGTTGAGCGTCAACACGTTGTACTTCATCTCGTCCAGAGCGTTCAATACCAATTGAACTACCGACGTCTTCCCTGTCCCAACGGGACCCAGCAACATAATAGGGAACTGGCTCCTTAGAAGGTAACTAGTGACGAACTCGTATCGAATCGTGTCCACTGTCGGCACGACTATCTTGTAGAACGGTGTGCTGTAATTTTGTAATTAAAAGTACATATGTAGACGTAGAATTTATTACAATTTATTACGTAGAATTTATTTATCGAAGAGTTGTTCATCAGAAGAGAGAGAGAGAGAGAGAATAAGAAAAATTTACTCCGCAGGAATTTTCCATATCGAGGGCAATCTTTCTTCCCAGGAAACGAACATTCGTAAACGGGAATCGACAAAATATTCGTACACCGTGTCGCGTAATGGGAACGTGCCCTCTATTTCTCGTATGAAATTGTCCACCCTGAACCGGCTCTCCTCGTTCACCGTGGCGCATATAGACCACACCAAACTGGAATGAATAAATTAAAGAATTCTTCTTTTCTTTTTTTATATATCTCGTTGGCGTATTTTCTTCTGAGAGAATATAATATACCAGAAGATGAACCATATCCGGCAAATATTGGAGAACATGTCTATGTCTCCCGTGAATTCAACCCCGTTTTCGGGGATACAGAGCACTTCTATGAGCTTGCATAACGATTGAACGGAATTTAATTCGGGAACTGGGACAGGATCCTCGCATTTCTTCCGTTTGAATTCCAGCGTAGCGTCCACGTGACTATTGAACAATTTCTTGATCTGCATAGCACGAAAAAAATAATAAGGGGGAGATCCATTAAGAATCGTATTAAAGATTTTTCGATAGCGATAATTAAATTATAAAAGTACTTACTTCTTCGAAAAATTCCTGTTTCGCTTCATATTTTTGTATCCAGCTGTTCATGTACGGCCTCCAGCCGAGATCCTTGTAATCGTTGTAAACCATCCCAGCCCGCGAGACCGTGGCGGGGGAGGCGACAGCCAGATCCTGGACCTCGAACAACAGAAGGACTTGTTGGGGCATGGTGATGCGGTCGTTGTTTATGAGCGTCAAAACCTGCAGGCAATTATTTATTATCCTTGTAAATAAATTATACAACTTATCGAGGATAAACGCCGAACCCTTAACATTCCTTTAGAGCCCTTTAGGGGAAAACTTTGAAACGAGTTTAACAGATCCAAGGGAAGAAGATTCAATATGAGATAAAACATGTTGCGTGATCGCAAGAGATCGAAGATCAAACGAATAATATTTCTACAATTTTCAATTTCATCTCTCATCATCACAAGAAGAAAAATTTTCGACTCTTGTACACATCCGTTCTTATATTCCCACCGTGAATAGGATTTTCGTGTTGCAGCAAAGAAAGGAATAGAGAGAGAGAGAGAAAAAAAAAATTTCCAACGGAGTCACAAAAGCACGCACCTTGTTATCGTCCATCACGCTGTTCATATTCTCGATCCAGTCGGCGTCCACGGGCCCGTCAAAGAGGATCCATTTCACGTCAGGGGTATCGTCTGTCAAAAGTAACGAGACACTTCGTACACACGCGTGCATCCCCTTTATATACATCCTACTTGGAAAAATCGAAAATGAGGGATGGTCGAACCGGAGCAGGTCTTCCGCATGATGGACGATATGACGCCGTCGTGCCACTCCCCGGTCACGAGATTGTACTCGCCGTAAAGCTCGGCAAGGCTCAACGCTTTCGGGTTAATGGGGAACACGTGGACGGCCTGGTATCCCGGTTTCTTGTCGTTCTTCATGCTAGTCATCGTGTTCTGCAACACCTTCCACGTGGCCGACTTGGCCGTGTTCGATTCGCCGACTATCATCGTCGAGTGCCTCGAGTGCATAGTCTCGAACAGCTGGATAACTTTCGTCAGTATCAGGGGGATAGGCTGGAAACAATGTTGGATGAACACAAACACCTACTTCGAATTCCTAGGCGAATTTAACATTGCTTGACGTTACGTCGATCGAAGCGAAATTAACCCTTTGCTCTCCAACGGTGAGGATTGTTGCGGCAACTTGAACGGCGACAATATTTATTTATGCTTGATTCTTTTAGAATATCATAAATAGGTTCCTAAGCTCTTTACGCATAATCTTATGAGGTGGAATCTTATCTTATGAGTAATTATCTTATGGTAATCTTATTTTAAAACATGGTTCGACTCAAACAGGAAGTGCAAAGGGTTAATAATTCAAGCAGCGATCAGTGTATCATATGGACGTTAAATTTATTTATTAAAAAACGAGACAGAATATTTCTTCTTCTCTTTTGGAGAAAACGATGAATCGACGAGATTACCTGCAGCTTCAGCTTGATGGCCTCCTTGGTTATGTAACTGATAATTTCCTCGTAATCCACGGTCGGTACCTCGATCTCCGGGAAGAGGTCGCTGGTGATACCGATGAACAGGGGCAAGTCGTCCGAGGTGAGTTTGGCGATGTTCATGTCGTTCATGGCGAGGATGATCACCTGAAAGAAAGGATTTTTCACCTCTCCAAAATCTGGTCTCGAAATTTAATCTCGACTGTTCGAGGAGATATACAGATGCAAGATTTCGAGAACGAACAATGGGTTTTACCTCCTCGTCAGGCAGATTCGGGTATAATCTCTTCTTCCTCCCGGCGTATCTGGTCAGCGTGACTATACCTCTCAGCCCAAAGTCGTAGTGATACTGTTTGCTTAATTGTTGTTGGGCCAACGTGTACAGGGTGAATACCTGGAGGAAAAGAAGATGAAGAGGTCGATACGATGCAAGGAGCGAGATGAGAAACCTTTCTGGCGAGAATTCGAGTTCCCTCGAATCCCTCGCAGAACAAATTGATCTCGGCTATCATGCTGCTGTCGGGAACCATCATCGAGATTGGCCTGAACATGGATTTCAGATTGTCGGGCAGCTCGGTACGACCCGCGTATCCTGGATTCATAGTGATGAAGATGCCGCAGGTGTGCACCAATTTTATTTCAGATCCTTCGAACACGAATCTGACGACCTTCTGCGAGAGGGCGGTGAGTATGGACAGTATCTGCTGCGCCACCACCGACAATACCTCGATGTTTATCCTGTCCAGGTATTTAATTTTATTCGTTTATAAAATCAGGCTACTCGATGAAATACTTTGAACAATTTCTTTCCATAATTAAGAATCTGGAACGTCCTTTCATCCTCTCTCCTCGAATCGAAGCAAGTGTTCAAGGGAAAAATCATTGAGATATTGTTCACGAGAAGTGAGCGAGATCGTATTTTAAAGTTTCCAGGAATGATCCTGATCGCTATTATATTGTAGTCGAAGAGGAGAGGGATAGGACGAGAAGGGATGGATTTCCTCTTCCTTCCTTTTTACCGGTTAAATTCGTCGAAGCAGCCCCACGCCCCGGTCTGCGAGAGGCCAGAGAATAACCTGCCCATGCTTTTGTAATCGAGCCCCTCGGAACAGTTCTGCACGATCACGTTGAATCCAAGCGCTTTCCCAAGATCCTTCACGGTCTCGGTTTTCCCGGTACCGGCCGGCCCCTTGGGACTGCCTCCCCGATACAGGTGGAGAGCGGTTGTCAGCGTTATGTAACACCTAGAACACCATCCAGACAGGATTCTGTCCTTAAAGGATCGTTTATTAATTCCCCCTCGAGTTATTCGATCGATATCTTGAATCGAAGAGATCTTTGCTTCAATGAGTTTTTCAATTTTTCAATGTTTCTTCGTTTAAAAAAGAAGAAGAAAAAAAATTACAAAGAGATTCCCAATCGCGCTTTTCAAAGGTTTTTTTTTTTTTTTCCTGAAGAAGGAAGGAGCACGCGATTCTATTCTTATCCGTTTAATCCGTTTTCAAGGGATGGGTTTAAGGGTGGGTCGCGACGTATTACTACGAGGAATCGTTCTTCCTTCCGCGACACAAATTCTCGGGGAACAAATGTATCGAGACGCCCAGCCCCTCGGTTCATAAATTACAGCGGCGCGGAATCCTTTTATCGCGATTAAATCGATAAACAGCGTTAAGTATCGTATATCGTTTCCTTCGATCTTCCTTCTCAAACTGCTCTTTCACGCAAGAGATTTGTAGCCGCGTTCTAATTGTTGTATATATTGCACAATTTTGGACAAAAGATGAGCTTACGTTGTTTGTTGATCGATGTATATTTGATTTAATTACAAACTACTCAAATTTGGATGTACAGTATCATTGTATTTTGAGACAGAGAATTTTTATAGAAGAATTAATAAAGAATTAATTCTAATAAAGATCCTTTATCCATCCACAAAGAGATTAGATTTCATCAAGACTCAAATATATAGATGTTGAAATAATGAAGCGCTAGATGGCGCAGTTGAGTTATTAAATCAAATTAAATTATTCTATATTACATTGTGAAATTATTGTGCGATATTTCAGAATAATCGAACAAGTAATCAAAACAAAATTTCGTTTCTAATATTATCCGTTAAAAATTACCAAAATTGCGACGATGATCTCGAATTCTTTGAGACAGTGAGTAAGACAAGTCGTTTTTAGTGTCGCCAACGCTGACATCCGGGTTTTCTCTCATAATTGATGAAGTTACATCAAGATTCAAAGAGGCCTCGCCTGCGAGAGTCTCGTTGATCAACGTTAATTACAATCTCCCCTCTCGTGTTCCCCTCCTCGGCTCGAAAATTTCTCTCTCGAGCGTTTCTTCGCGAGCGTCCACAAAGTTGCCTCGCGAAGTTTCGAGGATCACCCTCAGCCAAGCTTTCAACAACCGTTGATTAACGTTGATTACGGTTTCGCGATTTAAACATTATTCCAAATGCCGAAGAAACGAAAATCCTTTGCTGTTTATTTTTCAAATCTTATCGACACTTTTTTCTTTTTCTCTTTACGATAAAAATTCGAACAAAACTGGAAAACTAGATAGATCCTTCCTACGTATCTCACGTAATATCTTATCCCTACTTTTTCTAATCACCAAAATCATCTTACCGATCGGTGAGCGGTGTAATCACCAATCGTCCAGTATTTCCAAGGTATTCGTAACCATAAACGAAAAACGTGTTCGTCTGCCAAGCGATGCAATCGTCGATGTCCTTGTCCCAGTAGAATCTCAGCTGCGACAGCCACTCGAACGCTGACACGTCCTTGCAATCTAAAAAAAAAAGAAAAAAAACGAGACTCGAAAATATTTTTTCACGGAAAATGTTCAATCCTCGTTTGCCAAACAAATGAAACGAGAGGGAATCCGGCGTCTATTAGTCTAATTCGCGGAATCGTATTAATTGGAGGGAGGAGGGACGAGTCGTTGACGCGTGAATTTATCGTTGCAAACGTTGCACCTGTTCACTTAGCAATATTTGCACGGGCCAAATTGTTTCCAGGATGATGCAAGGATAATACGAGCTCCGATCTATCCGGCCATCTGTTTTCGGCTCGAGTTCGGATGAATTTACGAGGCACGGAGGATCGTGTTATTCTAAACGTCATAACGCAACCAATAACGCAGGCGGAATCCGGGTAATTTGTTGCTCGCGGCAAGGAAGGAAGGGAGGATTGAAAAATGTCGCGAAAGTTACGATAAGATCGGATCGATCACTCACTAGCACGGTACATCTTCTCGATAACGTCCCTCGCGTGGATCTCGAGCACCACGATCGCTTTGAACTTCAATCGGTCCAGGTGGGTCAAATCGCTCCTGATCGCCTCCGAGTATCTGCTCAACGCCTGATTCTGTCGTCTTCGTAGCTTCTTCAACGGCTTCCTCGAGTCCACTAGCCTTTAAATTTTTAATTTATTATTATTAAATGTTTGAAAAAATTTTTTTTTAAAGCAGCGTTTCCTAATTTAAAGATTGAAGACGTTTTGACGATTGAGACGATTATTATTAGAATCTTACAATAACTTGTAATAACTCAACGACGCCATCTAGGGTTCAATAACGGTCTAGACATTCTGTAGATATTCTTAAAATTATTTGACGTAGTTCTTTATTCAATTCAATTTGTTTTTTTTTTCCAGGAAAAAGGTATTAAAATCTTGGGGGAGTTTGAAAACTCGATAAAGAAGAATTAGGAAACGCTGCATTAAAAAGTACGTATATCAAAGCGGAAAGAATTCTTTGAAGAACCCCTCCATCGATTCCCTCCTTTCTCCTTTCCAGTTTCCACATCACAGTGACCGCATACTTTTAATCAAGACCGAGTTTCATCCGTTCAAAAACCGTTCGCAAGAACAAAAAGTCATTCCCTATCCCGAAAGAAAAAAAAAAAAAAAAAAAAAAGAAAAGGAAAGAGTCATTAATTATCCTCATCAGCCGGTATCACTTTCCACATTTAACCCCGTTTCCACCGTACAAAGCCTCATAACGCGAAATTTTTTTCCCCTCTCGAGCGCTAGGGGATATAATCATCCCCTTTGTCCGACACCTCTGTATCCCTTTATTTCTTTCAGGGAGGGCGGTAGGGTCAGACCCGGCCACGCCAGGACCACCTACCCTCTGCCACGGGACAGAGAGGGGTCTCGGGATTTTCTCCCCGTGGCGTGGGTTAAATTATTCGCGGTACGACTGGTATATGCAAACGAGGGAGAAAGGATGGCCGTTGTGGCCGTGGATCGCAGCGCCGTAGCCGGAATATGCAAAATTCTCCCTTATTAGAGTAACCGTGTCCCTCTATTCGCGAACCAACCCTCTCCAACATGGGGTGCAGACCTTCGAAGCCTCTCTCTCTCTCTCCCTCTCATCCACTTTCCAATGGCGCTCTCTCTGTCAGATTGCCGTTACAATTGTAACTCGCAACGTCGTCTAAATTTCCACGATGGAATAAAGCGCGAGGCTCACTTGCAGTGCAATAGGGTGCGGGTGCAGTCGGTCGTCCACTGGATCTGGGTGGACGTGATCCCGGGTTGGCCAGGCCACTCCTTCACCCACTTGTCGCGTTTCTGGATCATTTTTCGCAGCGCCGTTCGACATTGCTTCAGTACCTCGTGTAAACTTACCCTCATCGCTTTCTCTGCGAAATTGATTCGTTAATATTGATCACAATTGTATCGTCATCACTTATTGTATACACTTGTTGGAAAACTTGTTTTAATTGTAATTGTTATTATTATTACAAAGGATCACTTTTCGTTACTACTAAACGAGTTTCAGCATTTTAATATTAATTACAAAAATATTATACAATTCTATTTCCGTTTAAGTATAGTTTAATTATGCCGGTTTCTCTGTCGGTAATTCCGATCTAGCTTTAACCGACCGTGTACCGCGCCGTCTTTATGCTTCCCGCCCGGCGTAAATTGTGTCTCTCTGCGTGAAAAATTGTTGCCGGATGGAAGCTCGAAAACGGCCGGATAAAAGCGCGAATGAAACGCGAGGGATAATCATTTTTTCCACCGTTGAACGCACTCGTACGAGGTCAAATATGATTTTCTAATGGATGGGATAAGGACGTTAAATATTTAGCCGGATCTCTTTTTATTTCGCTCTTTTGCGATCTTAACATTTTAAAGTTTACGGTAGGATTTCGTTTGTAGGAATTTTGTTGGAGGATAAACAGATTGATTGGAAGTTTATATTTATATGATAAAATTTGGAAACAATTTTGCAAACACAAGTAATAAAATTGTTTAAGGTTAATTTTTAACTTATGCTCTCGATGATAAAATTAAATATTATTTCGATTTACTTCGAAAAGAAAAATTTGATAAAATAATCGATATTTTAAGGGATAAAATTTCTACTTTTACACACTACTGATTTCAATTCATCGATAATTCGTCACTTCAAAATGTAGTCATTCTTTGATTTTGGCATTGAATACATTACATCGTAAATTTTTCGTTCGATAATACCTTTCTCGAAAAAGAAAAGTTAAGTCGTTTCGTGATTTATTTGGAGAAGGAAAAACATTTTACCAATCTCGCAGAGCCACCTCTCCACCTGGCCCTCCAGAACAACGGGCTCGGTAAAATCGACAAACTCCCCTTCACCGGAATTCATCGCTATGGCCAATTGTTTCCCGGTAACGGACTGTGTAATCATTCGAAACGACATTAAAATCATTTCGAATCAACAGAATATGGATCATTCGTATTATCTACTGATTGTAAAAATCAATTTCTTATCATCAGATTCTTTTGCAATCTTTTTTTTTCTTTCTTATAATTTTATTAAAATTAAAAACTTGATACTCGTGAACTCACCTTGCTCAGACTAAGGAATTTAATATTCTCGAACAGTTTCTTGATGTGCACCTGTATCAATTCCGGTTTCCTCGCGTTGGCCAAGATCTCGAGTAGATCCTCGTTCGAAATGAAGTAGAATCTCGGGAACACGTGTCGTTTCGTCTCCAGATATTGTTCCAGGGCTCGTTGCATCAACTCGATTTCGCGGCTGATTTTATTCAGAAGCTCGAACAGGCCGGCTGGAGCGAGAAGGAAGGAAAGGAAAAGAAAGAAAGAAGGGGAATTGGGTGGAGGCGAAGAAAAAAATGCAAATGCTTCCGGCAGATTTACATTATTTTTCACCGCCTTCCCTTTTTCTTTTTCACGTCATACATCCCTCTTCCTTTTGAATTACAACGCACGCTTACTTTTTTTTCACGTTTCGAAATTTTTATTTACACTTTTCTCCTCTCGAAAAAATTGCATTTTTGAAACGAAAACGAAAGATTAGGGGGAGGAGAAGTATTACAAACAAGGCGAGATATTTTTTCTTTGAGAAACTGAGAATCTTTAAGATTCAAAATTTTAAAAAATTGAGAATTAATTCGATTCGAAAGGAAAGCGTTTGCAAAAATTTAAAAACGATCATTTAATTTAAACTCGTCGTTCAGAGATTCTTTCTGATTAATAATTAAAATTAACAAATCTCCCCCAAATTTCTTGATCCCAAAACTGTTTTTCATTCAAAGTATCCGCTTTCTGAAAAATTTAAAAAAGGAAAAAAATAAAAGACACATACGCGGCTCGTGAGTGGCTTTCAAGGCCAGGCCAATGGAGGCCATCCGTGACGTAATCTCGATCCACATTTTCGTCAGTCTGTCGTAATCGTCCGTCTCCTTGGGGAGCTGTTTCCTGATGTCTTCCGTGGTGAATATGTTGTCCATGTACATGTAGCCTCGCTGAATCATCAGGGTTATTTCCAGGACCTCCCCTATGATCGAAAGGGTCCGCTCCCAGTAATCCACCTCTTTCGCGAACGGTTCGACGAATCTGGGAACCATGCTTGCCACGTGAGCATCTTACCCTTAACCTCTGAGAGAGAGATTCAATTTGAAAAATTGAAAAGAAACCTGGTCGCCTTCATGGCCGATAATTGAACTTGATGCTCCTCCAATGTTTGCACTATCTCGTCCGTGGTCTTTATCCTGTATATACCTTGATCCTTGTAAGGGATCATTTCCAAAGGCATCTTCTGCCAAATGTCGCTGATACTTTTCAACCCCTGAAATGGGAGAGAATTCTCTCTCGTCTGGTTTCGACACGTGAAACGGCAACAAGTTTACGAATAAACTTAGCAATCACTCACAATTTCTATGGTCAATTCCATGGTGGCAGAGTTGGATATATCGCTGATCTGTTCAGCGAAATTTTGAAACTCCATCTCGGTGATGGCGTCCAGAGTGAATTCCGGCGACAGCTCATCGAAATCACGACCCACGATCTCCTTGAGCCTCTGCCAATGCCGAGGCCTCATCGCCGGATTTTTCAGATCGATGATCAATGGAAGGGTGCGTCTGAACTTGTCCACGCTCGTTCTGAAAAAAAAAAAAAAAAAGTTCCAACTCCTTAAATTTCTTAATCCTTAAATCGACGAAAATTGATTCGATACAAAATTATTATTTTGTCGTAAAAAAAAAAAAAAAAAAAAAGAAGACAAAACGATAATACCTCGAGTGCTCGACGATCTCCCAATTCTTCTCCTTCAACTCTCTGCTCAGACGATTCAACTTTCTGAACAGGACATTTGCCGTGGTCTCCATCTGTTCCATCTCGATCTCCCAGAAATTCGCAGTTTTGTACACCTGCCAAGCGTCGTTCCACTCTTTCGTGATATCCCACACCAGTTGGATAGCTTTCATATCCTGAAAAGAAACTTGAAGCTCTTGTCGACCTCTTGCATACGCCGATTGATCAGATTCCGACCGATTTATTTACCTGTTCCAATTGTATGAGGTCGAGCGAATCCGGCTGGCTGATTTCGAACACCATAAGCTGCGACTTCAGCGTGCCCTCCTTCGCTTTCAAATTCACGAAGTCTCGTTCGAGGGAGGCCAGCCAATTGAGAGCGTCTAATATATCGATAGATGTTAATCGATTAGGTTAACAGTGGGTATATACGGGGTATACCTTGTATCTCCCACAAGGACGTGAACGGCCCGAATTCCCAGAATCTCTGAACAAGCTCCTGCACGTCTATCTCGAACGTTACCACATCTTCCATCAGCATCTGCTTGAACTCCGCCTAAAAAAGAAAAAAAAAGAAAAAGAATGGTAATAAATATTTGATTACACACAGATCCATCCATTCTCGATAATTTAACTGATTCACAGTGTATGGGTTAATCACATTAAATAATTCATTATTTGAATAAAAATTTCTTTTAATCATTTAACTGCGAGTACTTTTAACACAGACGATCTAAACACAAAAGAAAAGAAAAAAATGAATAGACAATAATTTTAATTATTTTATAAATTACAAAAAATATACAAAATAAGAAAGTATAATAAACTAAAACTTCAATAACTATATTCGTCAACGTTTTGTTCAACGCACCTTCTTTCTTGAAGAACTGGAAGAAGTAGAAGGCTTATCCATATTAGGGAAAGTTTACAAAAGTATACTTTGAAAGAGACTCGAGTAGCAATCAAAATGAAACTAAACTTTTACTATATCTTGTACATAAAAGACAAAGTATTCATTTTATAATCAACGATAAGAAAAATAAAATGGAAATAAATGTATACGTTCAAATTTTAAATTATATTACTGAAGTGATATTCTATTTTAAGAGATTTATCTATTGTATTTTTATTTTTATTTTAATGATTTTTTAATGATTATTTTAATGATACAAACCACAGTTAAAGGGTTAACCAATAATTAATTTGATTCTTTGGATAATCCTCCATTACGATTTATGATTATATTCGTTTGATGAAACAAATTTGGACGAGAAAATTTTTTAAAAATTTCCCAAACGCTTGCCTGTTTCTCTTTCAACATGAAATCGCATTCCTGCAAGAGGCCGAGATACGCGGTCCAGGAAGGCTGTATGTCGTAAAATTTCCGCTTGAAGTCGAACGTCAACGTAACCTCGTACTTTTCTGGGACAAAAAGGGATGGACGAGTAACGATCGAGGAGAGGGCGAGAAGAAACACGCGAGCAGTTTAATCAACGGTTTACCCAAGAGCTGGAATTGGTCCTCGATCTTTGGGAATTGCTCTTCCTCGTGAGGAATATCGGCCATCAGCTTATCGAACAACTGCATCGCTTGTTGCATGGTGATCAGATCCGTCGGCTCTTTCGATATTCTGAGAACGAGTGTGAATGTAATAAATTAATAAATTGTTCCAAGATTTGTTACACATCGCTCGATCACTTTATCAATTTTATTGATTAAGATATTTATTGCTTGATTGTCCGGACCCTAGATTATTCAATGAGTAAACAAACGTGTCTAGCTTCTTAAGATTAAGAAGAATACGAAATTATCTATGAATCTGTATTATCATTGGTTTAAAAAAATTTATTTCGATCTATCTTATATACTCACTTCTTCGAATTCTCCGCGATGTAGTGGTAGACATGGTTCATCATGCTTTGCGTTTGCCGGAACAAAACGCCGATTAATTTCTGTTGCCAAACCGAGCACTCTTCGATAATGGCGCCCTTCAATCGATCGGAGTTCACGTCGAGGAAGTGTACGGAAGTCATCGTCTCCTGTATCTGAACATTGTTCGCGATCATCGTGTACCTGCTGATATCTGAATCGAAGGTATCCGCGGTTGGCTTCAACTTTTCGTACCTTGAATTAATCAATCAATATCGAAGCGATTTTATCTCTCCTGGAATTTCAATCTCAAATATATATACCTCTGGAGAAACATCTCTCTGTTCATTTCCCAAACTTCGTGAAACGGTTCCCAGGTTTTCAAGTAGGTTTGCATTTGGATGAAGCAGAAATTCACCTCTGAGAATTCGTACAATTACATCGAGATTATCGAGGGAAGGGAGAAAAAAAAAAAAAAAAAAAAGGATTGTCATAAATGGACAGATTAAAAGATCGATCGAACCGTCGTTTAACTTCTGTTGAAGATCGAGCAATTCTGGATCTTTCTCGTATATTTTCCAAAATGGCGGCACATGGAAGTCCAACTTGAATTTGTCCGTCAATCTTATCACGCTCTTCAAAGGTTCCAAGAGATTGTCGAAGATCATCGAGATTTCCATCGCGATATCCGATAGATTTGGCATGAAATTTACCTGCAACGATTCTTATTCTATTTTTATCCTTATTCGCGAACGAACGGAACGAGCGAAAGTTTAAATATAAGCAGATGAGATTTTTGAATGAAAAAGAGAAAAAAAGAATCGTTGTTACCTTATTATCTATAAGCTCTACGTGCACCAGGATGAGAGGCGATGGGGGTGCTGTTCCATCCCCGTGAAGAGCAAGGTACATGGCGTTAAAGGATTCGATTAAACACATTTTGAAAACCTCGCCTATCACCACGTCTATTCTGCTTAAATACCCTTTCCATTCTTCCAAACTCTGTCACATATTTTTGTAAATAATTAATCGTCAATCTTCATCCTAAATATTCCTAAATATTCCTAAAAATATTCCTAAAAATTCCTAAATATTATTTAATTCTTTGCTAGTTATCGAAATATTTCGTTACATCTTCATTCTTATTCTTCGTTCGTAATATTATTGTTACTAGAATGCAAATCTTTTCTATAAAATTTCTTTCTAACAATTATCGAACAATATCTCAAAAAAAAGAAAAATTATTTTTTAACTCATGATTAATAAATTACAAATGGCTGTATAAGAATTAACGAATGTTCCTTCCAGCACTAAACATCGTTACACTTTTATTCGTATGTTCCTTCGTAATATTATTGTTACTAGAATGCAAATATTCCTTTCTATAAAATTTCTTTCTAACAATTATCGAACGATATTTAAAAAAGAAAAATTATTTTTTAACTCATGATTAATAAATTTCAAAGTACAAATGTTAAACTATCCTGTACATAAGGATTAACGAGTGTTCCTTCCGGCACTCGGGTAGCGACATATCGGCCTAGTCTTCCGTTTCCGGATTGGAATGGCGCAAAAATTGCGGCGTATAGCCCGAAGGGATAACGTGGCTACGCTCCGTGCGGGGATTTTACCAGGTGGATAGCCGCCGTTTGTCGTCATATTCAACGCAGAAACGAGCTGTTCCGCGTGAGCGAGAATGAAATCGTAGGGGGATGCGAAAGTCGAGTCTCGTTGTTATTATCACCGTGTTCAAGGATGTTCCCTTCTCGTCTACGGTGGATATTTTTAATAAAACATTTTTTTATGAAGGAAAAATGGCTAAATATATTGCGAGTAGGAATTTTCAAGGATCGAAGGGGACATTTTATGTTGTTCGTAAAAATTTACATGGAGATATTCCATTCTGTATGGTAATTTACATCTTGAGATTGATTTTTTTTAATAATATTATTTTATCACGAGGAGGGAACTAATAATGTTAATAAAAATATGTATCTTACAGTAATAGTATTTATAATTGTATAACTCGAATAATATGAATTCTACGTATTTATGCAAGTGAAATATAACCATAGATATAATTCATTCCTAGTGGATCTAGTGCTTTCTAAGTTTCCACCAAATGTTGACTCTAGCTTATATACATCTCTTATATTTAAGAGAAGTATATAACGTCCAAATTACTTATAGTTACTTATTATCATTCCTACGCTGCTTCCTCAAAATACTTTCCTCAAAATCATCAGTTTTCTTTCGCAACAACGAATTATAATATTCCAATGCTTAAATTAATAACAATTCTTCCTTTATGAGAATCAAATAACGCGACAATATTAAAAACGTCATCGATAAATAACAATATGACATAAACTCACGTCCTCGATCACGCCCTTGAACCCGTCGAAAATGAGCATCACGTAGTCGATGATGGTTTTGTGAACGTTCGACACCTTTATGAACGTCTGGTCCCTGAAGAGGCCGATATCCGAATCACATAGCTTCACAATCCCCAAAATCCCCAAAATCCCCAAAATCCAAACCAAAAATAAAATCGGATCTCATACCTCGAGTTCATCAAATCCTCCTTCAACTCCTCCATTACGTACATGTAGTTCGGTTTTATAACGATCATCGGCGTGTCGCAGATTATCTCGCAGAGTTTCAGTATCTGCTCGTTCGACATCCTGTACGTGTCGATGAACTCTTGAAGCTGCACACGAAACTCACATGAGAAGATGAAGATGAAGATGAAGAAGAAGAAGGAGAAGAAAAAGAAGAAGAAGGAGAAGAAGAAGAAGAAGAAGGAGAAGAAGAAGAAGAAGAAGAAGAAGAAGAAGATGAAGATAAAGAAGAAGAAGAAGAAGAAGAACGGAGGTGAGAACATCCAAGTAACACCGAGGCTTGTAATATCCCGTGCTTTGTTCGGCCGAATTCCTTCTTCCACCTTCGCAATGAACGTAACGTTTCGCAAAGCGGCGGTCAAACCGGATATCCGCTATTGTTATTCCTCCGCCACGCGCGCGCTTCTTGCTTAATTAAACAAACGAAGGATCCGCGGACAGATATCCCACTTGGCTCGGCCAGAAAATTTAATTTCGCAGCGGGACAGAGCCGGGGGACTCGGCGCATAAATTTCTCCACCGCCGTATCAGCCGCCTCCTCCAACCTATATCCAACCGGTCAAGTTGGACGGGGAGAGAGGAGGGGAGAAAGAGAGAGAGAGAGAGAGAGAGAGAGAAAGAGAGAGAGAGAGAGAGAGAGAGGAGGAGGAAGCGTACATTTGCCGTTTCGTTAAAGCAATCCTCGATGTACGCGTCCACGTATTCCGTGTTCCATGTCAGCTTGTTTAAGCCTGGATTGATCTTCCTGTCTAGTTGGCGAATTAGTTCGCGGAACAGTTCGCGTTCCACTATCGACAAAGCTGGAAAAATATAGGTATATGCACATGTATATGTGGACACCTCTACACAACCATTTGGAAACCCGATTATCCGAACGTTACTCGACGATTACAATTTCGATCGATCATTTTAAAATATTCTCGATAGCGTTGGGATGGAATTTTTCAAGTAACGCGCGCTTTTTCCAAGCTTGTTCACTTGTTCTCTCGATTACAATTTCACAGATTATTTTAATGCTTCCGCGCAGCATGGGAACGGTTTTTTGCTTTTTCAAATAACGCGCGCTTTAGAAGGGGAAGAGAAAGAGAGAGAGAAAGAGATGAAGTTATATATGGAATTATTCGAATGCTACTCGCGCTATGGATCACTTTAAAGTTCTCTTTAATTCTGGTCTAGCGTGACTTTTTTGAAATAAGTTTCGGAAGCAGAGGGAGCCGTGACTCGATTCAATATGGCTGCCAAGAAACAATCCGATTTTTCGAATGAGAAGTTCGATATGTTCTATATGTCTCAACGCAACGTTATATAAAAATAAAAGTAAAGATAAAATTGGCAATCTAACTTTCGATCACTACGATAACGTTGTCTCCCGTTGTTGAGATATAAAAATAAAATGAGATAAAATTGGCAAACTAACCTTTGATCACCTTATTGTAACCGATAATAACTGCGATAACGCTCTCGAACACGAAATTAAGGGTCTCCCATTTGTCGAAAACGATCTGCACGTGGACAGGGATGATGAATTTCAACGCGATCCAGTAGGAGGCCTCGCGGCACAAGGTCAAAATGGACGGGTCTATGTTGCACCTGAGAAGGCCCTCGGTGATGTTGCAGCGGCGCATGAGGAAACGATCCAACTTTGCCCGGGGATTGTCACCGACCTCGTAGATCCATTTCGCGTATAAATCGGCGACGAAATCCTCGATCGATTTTTGCAGCAGCTCTTGCTGATGGAACGCCTCGTAGCGGAGGCCGCAATAGGGCATCCAGAGAGCGTGCTCGAGGATCTGTCTCGTCACTTGTATCCGGGCGCCCTTCGTGCGCAAATTCAACGCCCTGCCCGCGTAATAAGGAGTCATCGAGGAATACTCCTCCATTTCGTCCAACACCTCTTGCTTCGCTTTCTGGATATCCTCGCAGAAAAGTTTCCATATCTGGTGGAGCAATGGGAATTTAAGGAGCAAGAAGAGATTTGTTTTCTCTTTACGATTCGAAATGTAGGAAACGATTCTTATATTTTACGTCGTGGAATAGAAAATTTTCAAGAATTCGAAAGTTGTTTTGTTTAACAGCCGTTGTAATAGTGGATATTTAGATGAATTCAGAGAAAGCTGTGGATCGAGAATTCTTCTTTAAATAATTGGAAGAAAGAGAAAAAAATATCTTACGAATCTTTTGAACATTTTTATGGTAAAAATTGGACATCGTATACTATACTTTTCCTTTTCGTGAAAATACTTTCAGAATATGATGGAAATTATGCAGAAGAATTCGAAGATTTATAATAGATAGATTTTTCAGTTCAACCTCGTACCTCGCTCGTTTTGGAATCAAACAGAGCTCTCAACTTGTCGCGATTCATGTAGCTATGAAAGCTTTGAAAATCCTCCATCGCCTCCTGTACATTGTTTAAATTGACGAAGATCGACGTGACCAGGTTCTCGATAATGATTTCCAGATCCTTTATCTCCGTTCGAAAGGCGAACATGTCGTCGTTCCACATGCTGTGGTGGATGTCGAAGATATTGTGAGAGTTGTCGTCGATTTTTTTCAGAGCCTCCTTAAACAACCTTTCGACCTTCTGACACACCCTTTCTCGCTCCTCGCCCCTCGTACCGCCGAACATAGGCTTGGCCACGTCTGTGGTTTCGTCCATTCTGCGAATATCGTATAAATTTAAAACGTATTTGAAAGATCATGCGAATTTAGAAAATTTTACTCTACAAAATTCTCTCTCATTTAGAAATTTTCTAAATTTCTCGCTTCAAATATCTGCCTAATTTTTATCAAAATATAAAAAGATTGGTGAATAATTTTTAATTATTATTATATTTAATTATTATTATATCTGTTGATTCACGAAGAATCACTGGCAAAATCACAATCGAGACGATACTCGAGATTTCATCCTGTTTATCACGCTGTCTTCAATTCTGGTCGTTTGTCTACAGGCATGAAGAGGCGTGGACTGATTACCTGGCAAAATCGATCATCGCCTGACAGATCTCAATCATATCGTAGCACCTGCTGATGCAAGTATCAATATGCTGGAATATATTGATCTTGTTCAAATCCCACGATACGCCTAACAGAGTAGTATGGGCATGCACTATCTGAAAAATTATTTTTTTTTTTTAAAATACATCAGTCCTAGATCTATAGATATCATACATATACTACAACTCTTTTTCCAACTACAAAATAGTTTAAAAAAAAATTTAAGATACTGGTTTATCATATTAATTATTTTAGGCCTTCGAAATATCTGGAGAGAAATAATTGTACAGGGGAAAAATGTTTTTCTCTACAAGAGATAGATAAAGAGAATACACAAAATCTCTATTACATTACTCGTAACGCGAGGAAATTAATCCAACCCTTTCAAAATATTATTTATATCTCATCGAGAAGATCTAAGAGAAAATAAGAGAATACACAAGAGACCAACAATTTATTCTGTATTATCGGCCGCTTAGGGGAAACAGTTCACCACCACCTCCACAGGATGGTGGTACTCTATTCGTTTCACTCACAAATTACCTTTTTTTCACCCCTTCAAAACACTATTAAAAATTATTAAAAATTTTCGAAATAAAAGTGGCGCCATTTCGTTCCCACGAAGCGAATCCCCTCGTTAAACACCCCCTATATTGGACTTGACTGGCTGGCTGACTGGTGATTCAATTTCAAAAAAAAAAAAAAAAAAAACGTTCGAACGCGCGATGTTGTTATTTTTTTCGATCAGAAACCGATTTTTCTTCAAATCGATTTGGAAAAAAAATTTTTTCTTTTTTTTTTATCGAACACGATTCGTTTCTCGAAACGGATACGGCTCTCAACCCTCCCCCAGGGTTTCATAAACAATATCGAAAATGCAATATTTTTATTTTATTATTTTTTTTTTATTTCCTTGCTTGCTTCATCAGCACAGGAATCGTATTACTTTTTCGGTGCGATGATTTTTAATGAACTGGATTCCTGTTTCTTGCAGGAGAGACACGAAAAACTATTCCTTCGCACTATTTACAATACACAAATTATATATCATTAGGACCAGTGTTTCTTAATTTTTAAGAAAATCGAAGAGAGAAGATCGATCAATCTCGAAACAGAAATTAATAATCGCAAAAATTTACAATACTATGCACAAATTATATATCATTAGGACCAGTGTTTCTTAATTTTTAAGAAAATCGAAGAGGGAAGATCGATCAATCTCGAAACAGAAATTAATAATCGTAAAAGCGATTTCCATTGATCCTCGAAACCGAGAGATTTTTCAGGAAAATTCGTGCTCCTCCCTTTGCACCCTCCTTCCACCGAGGATACGGCAGCTACATGGCTCGTGGCAATTTTCATCCCCCTTGCCTTATCTAACCACACGAGAAACGCCTAAGTTAAGGGTTAGTATTAACCCGAAAACTTGACCCTCCCCTCCTTCAACAAGGGATGAAACCCTAATTTCCAAAATTCGACGAATCATTTTTAAACAATTCGTGCTACAATTTTCTTCACGATCATCTCTTATATCGATTCTTAACGGGAGAAGATCGAGATCGGTATTGTTAATCGCGATTATTGCAGGTTTCGTGCGCGCTTGCAACCATCTCGCCCCTGATTAAAGATGAAGATAAGATTAATTGCAGGAGGAAGGGCGAGTGTGTTGCTTTAACAAGGGGTTGGGATCATCGCGAACCAGCGGGCAAAGGCGGAGGTGGCGTTTAACGCTTAACGTTTAACGGCTCTTCCCCAAGTATCCGAGGTAACTCTGCACACACGTCGTTTAATAGTTCCTTAATGCACCGACCGGGGAGAGAATTTGAAAACGCGATAAGGAGAGGGTTTGGTTCTCGAACCCGTGGAAATTATATTATATTAATTACATTTATTATGGAAATTATATTACATTAATTATTGACTATTGAAGAATTGCGTGACTCGCTTTATAGGCGAAAGAAAAGATTTTCTTCGAAAAGAAATTATGGAATATTAATATTGAAATCAAACGAATGTTACCTGGTCGTACAGTGCGATGTAATTTTTACAGCTCTGTATGCACTCGTCGAACTTTTCCATGTACTTTCTCGTCTGACCGGCGAAAAGCTCGTCGAAGTTTATGTAGTCCCGGCAGATGATGATTATCTGATTGCTGAGCGCCCTGAACAGATTCTCGATCCTCTCCTGGGTGTTGTAAAACGGTGAATTCAACCAGATGATTCTGATCAGGTGTATGATGAGGAGCAAGTGTTGCTGAATCTCGGACGGCGATTGGCATTTGTCTATCTCGGAGGAGGGGTCGACCAGGATTCGTAGGTACTCGACGTTCGACATGGCCTCCTTCACGAACGTCTCGATCTCGTCCTTTAATTTCAGGAATTGTTGGGCGTAGGTCGAGTGGCTCGTCATCAGGAAATCCGTTATCTTTTTCACGGTGGGGTTCTGCACTTGGTAGTTTAAACCGCTGAGATTGTCGTCTGTTCGAACGAGAATTTATTTTTCTTCAAAAGATATCCGCGAGTGTGAAATCTTGTCCAACGAATCTTTACCGAGTAATAATCAGTAAAATGAAGATTCCTTTTTTTTTCCGCGATACGATAAGGAGGAAAAAGAATTGAAATTGAAAATTTTTCGTTTCAGTAAAAAGTGTTCACACAACACTTTTCGACACTGGAAATGTCGAAATTCAAATATTCGAGGAATATTTCAAAATCGAATTCCAATTTATGAATTATGAATGAGATGGACGGACGCGGGAAAATTCTGAATTGAATCGTATTTTTTTACAAATATCCCCGAAATCAAGACGGAGCATGGAACTAACATCGATAGATCCAAAAGTCGTATTCGTCCTTGAGGCACAACAATTCGAGGGGTGTTGCCTGTTCCTGATCCGAGAGCGCTATCCTCACTTGGGTGGTCCAATAGGCCACCACCACCTCCATCCTCTTGATTATCTCCTTATCGGCGCCCATCTCGTCCACAACCAGCTCGTCACCCTCCCTCGGCACGTATATCACCGTTAACCCCTGCATTTTGTACGTAAGGTCCGTTAAGGAGCACAGGAACGAGTCCATGTGCGTGTAGAAATCCGCCTTCACGCATGTGTATCAGGTTAAGGAAATAGCAATAAGCCTGGGAAACGTAAATATTTTTCTTCTTCAAAGGATATTCAAGAAGGATGTTCAGAAGATACCCTTCAAAAATCATTTCAAATTGTTCCAAGAAACTTAATATCTATCGATTCCATTATTTTTTCCTAATTTAATAAACGAAAAAAAATATCGATCTTTCGCGATCATCCTTGAGTATATATTTAAAACAATACAAGAAAGAAAGCCGAATCCTTGCAGTCATTTCGTTTGCACGATACAATATTTCAATCTCATAAAAAGTATCCCTTAAATCGAGAAAACAAATTCTTCTGACTGAAAATCCAAAGATATTCAATGATCTCATACAATAATCGTTCATTGTCATCACGAACGACCATCGTAATCCTAAAATTAGGGCAAAAATTGAAAAATTGAAAAAGGAAGAGAAAAACCACCCTTCTTTTCCTCCCCCCCCCATATATACACCACCAATTCTAGATTGGACGAAAAGTGGAGGAGTCACTGTCCATCCCGTTCAACGTGGATCCATTAGAAATAATGAGGCGACTTCCGGCCAAACGTTGCAATGCAATTCCTCCCCTATGTGCGTGTGCAAACATTCGAATTGCAGCAGAGAAGGAGGAGGAGGAGGAGGAGGAGGAAGAGTTGCAGCGGTGCATTTAGCCGAAAATTATGGTAATAATAACTTCGTCCTAACCCTTCCTGTTTCGCCGTCCTCCTTCTCCCTCCCCACCCCTGTGTTGGCCGACACTGGAAGCCGGAAGTTCGCGCTGCGGTAACAGGGATTGCGCGCCCCAAGTTACGAAATTCGCTTGGTAACGCCAGACTCGTCGAAAGCTTAAAGTCGAGGGATGATTTCTAAATTTTTACTCCTTTTGTCACTTTTGCGTTTCCTATACATATATATATTACGAAGAAATCTCTCGACTCTTTTATCTAAATGAATACTTTTAATCAAAGCAAATTATGGGAGGAATCTATTTAAAGCTAAAATCGAAAAGCTTTCCAAAATTTGGATACGAATTATATGTACGGGATATTCGTTCGAGAAATATGCAATTAAACTTGCGACAACTTTTTCGAGGGGAGAGATCGTTCAAGAGGGAGAAGACTTTGCCCTTTGGTTAATTAAACAGGAATTAAGCAGGATACTGTCTGGCCAGGTCTCGATCTTGAGGAAGATCGGCGCCAACACGTTCTCGACTATGGACAGTATGTAGTATTCCGGTTTGTCGTTCACAGTGCCGAACAATATCTCGTTCCTGAACGTTTCTGCGCGCAGCACCTGCCGTGGCTGCCTGATGAAGTAGGTGAACTCGGTGACAAGGATCAGGGGGAAGGAGAGGGAGACGATCAGCCTGTTGTGGGAGAAGAACATGCATATGGTGGTGAAGTTCGGGTTCAGGAAGAATTCACGGATCGTCATTTCGCTGAAGTAGGTCCAGTGAGTGTCCTTCAAGCCGGACAACGTCGTCATGTCTTTTACGATGTTTATCTTGAGGGAGGAAAGAAGGTTTTTTTTTTTTTTTTTTTTTCTACAGATACATCACAGTGTATCGAGCAATGATTTTTTTTTGATGTGTTTGAAAAATGATTTTTAGATTCGTTCGTTTACGATTTAATTTATTCTTACACACAGAAGGTGAACAGAAGGGATGTTGGTTTATAATTATAATTCGGGTTTATTTTTTATTTTTTTTTTTTTTGGATTATCGTCTATACTTATCCATCGTCGTTTATCTATCTTCTTCATCCTAATCATCCTCTTCCTGTTCCTCTTCCTCCTCATCATCCTCGTCATCATCATCATCATCATTATCCTCATAATTTTCATCATTCTCATCATCTTCATCATCACCTTCCCCATCCACACGATCTTCGTCATCACCGCCCTCATCAACATCATTTTTTCTCATAATTCATACTAACAATATCCCCCTATATTTCTCATCCTCGTTCATAATCATCAACATCCTATCACCCAATCGTGTGATAGAATACTTTACTATATTCTACAAGGCGAGAGTCGAACCACTAACCAGCTCCATCAATTCCTCGTCATCGTAAACCGGTCTAAGCTCCTCTTCGACCACCTCTTCGTATCCTGCAACAGAAACATATTCCAGTTTTGATTGATTCGATCCAAAGACAAGGAATATCAAAATTGTACAACTACGACCGCCCTTCGAATCAATCACTCCTTCCTTCCCTAAAATTAGACCTCGAAAGAATTCAAACGAATCCATCCTTCAGATCCCTTCAAATCCAACCGCGTTTTTAAATCGTTTCCAAGAGATCTCCCCTTTTTTCGCCGAAGTATCCCGAGAGGATACTTCGTCGCTGGCAATCTAACAGCAACGATAAATCGATCGGCTAGGAACCGAAACGGCGGAAGAGGAAACACGCGGGGGGACACGTTGCTGTAATTTATCGGTCTATGATAGGGAGCATTATGTAGATAGTAACGATGCATCCTCTCCCCATCTTTTCCAGGGAGGAAATACCGGCCAAGGGACTTATTATCGTAGCCTTCCATGGTTCTTCATGGTTTACGTTCATTGTCACGTTCTTATTTCATTTTATAACAGAGTGTAGAGGAGCCACTCTTTTCTTCTTGTAATTGTTGTTAATGAAAACTTTGCTTTCGTCGGGATGGAAGGATTGTTAGTAAGGGTTTTGGCTTTTGGATTTTGGAGCGGATCTTTGTTTCTTTGTTTCGAATTTTAGATTCAATGTAATACGTATATGGATCTTTGGATTCGCGTTAATTCAGAATCTTTCTTTGGAATACTCGAATAGAAGAAATTTCTTATAGGAAATAATTAAAATTTTTTCCTCCGCACGCGCGTGTCAATTAGCACGAAAATCGTATCGTTATTGTCATCGTATATAAAACAGGGACAGATTTTGTGTCGCTTAACAACGTGTCTTGCCCGAGATTTACAAAAGTGTTTTTATCACTTGTTGTTGGAACGACTGTCGGAAAAGCTGGAATACGGGTTTTTCCATCCCCGTTTGGAAGTGAAAATTTGTTGTTCGCGGCTGCTCGACATCATAAAACTTGCCTTTATGATAGTCTATGCCTTAACAGGGCTGTTGCTTCAGGGAACATTTCTTCTAATTTATCGTCCCTTTCGAACAACTTCCTCGCTCCATCTTTCTTAGATTTTTATTCTAATTATATATCCTCTTCTTTTCGCGCCCAATTTCAACCTTTTAAGATTTCGAATCGGATCGGAGGAACCAAATAATTGGAAAACTCGCTCGTAATATTCGTGCAACATTATTTATCAATCCGAATATAATAATCTCTTCATCAAATCCTCCTCCACACGTTGCGAGCATCAATAATACGAAAATACGAATCGCAATCAGATTAGGGGATTAGACGAATCAATTAGCCACTTCGAGCTAAGCTAGATTCTACCCCTCCCCTGTTTCATTCTCGTTCCACTTCGTACACTTCGATTCAATTTCCGCTTTGCAAATCCCTCCGAAAAAAAAAAAAATAATAAAAATAAAAAAAGTAAAAAAAATTCGCGCCAATTCGAACATCACGCGTCCCGGCCATTTTTTCCTTCGCTTAAAAAAAAAAAAAAAAAAAAAAAGTTACCTACGATCGTCGCGAATTTCCAGACCACGCCAACATTCGATAACATTCCGCGTGATATCGCGCGCGAGGGATCGAGCGATAATGGAAAATGTATTGCAGGCAGGGAAAGAGCGGGAAAGGCGCGCGTTTTTCATCGGGGGTGGGGGGGAAATGACACGCGCGGAAATGGCCGCGCCCGCGCCTGTCATCAGAGGAGGAGGAAAGCCGAATTGCCGTTGAATTTTTCGTATCGTCGAAAGGGATCGTGATATGGGGGGAGGGGAGAGAGAGAGAGAGAGGGAGGGAAAAAGAGAAGATATTTGTATGAAAATGGGGGGAGAGGGGATAAAGAAATTGTGGAAAAAAATCTGTTGGATTTGTAGAATTTGAAGGAACAATTTTTGTAATACACAGAAGAGAAGGAATTTATTATAAATTTTGTAGGGGAGGATTGATCTGGGAGGGTTATTTAGTTGTAATGGAGAAAATTGAATTTGGCAAAATTACCAGTGATCTAATATTTATATTCGAAAACGGGAGGGAAAAGTTTTTCTTTTTCGAGAGTTAAATCGTTCAATTATTAAAGTAATTTCTTTTTTTTTTTTTTGTCGAAAATTCGTTAAACGTCGTCCAGAGAATTGACCAGACTCGCGCAGAATATTTATTTCAACGCGATTTTATAAATAAATAAATTTTTCAATTTTCCATCCCTCTCCCCAAAAATATCATCGAGAATAATCACACAAGCATACTTAAAATTATATTCAAACAACGAGAGGGGATGGTTCTCGAGGTTGTCGATCGTCAACGCGATATATTCGTAAATTTCTCCATGATCCATCCCAAAAGAAGAGCGGCCCGTTTTATCAAAATTCGTCAACGAGAGAAACGGCCAAAAAATCCGGCCAAATCGCTCCTTTCGAGCGAAATTCTAAAATTACAATCCAAACGCGACGAGAGTGGTGGTTTTTCGAGAGGTGACAAATTGTTCAATTATCAGCGCGATTATACGCGAATATTCGCGACTGGGGGAGGGAGAAAGCTGGGGAAGCTGTTTATTAAAATTCATTAACATTCGTATCGATCGGTGGGGAGGTGGTCGGGGGTTGGTCGCAATAGCGATTCGCAATAAAATTCTCGTCGAGAGGATTAACAGTTACAATTTCGTTACGCGTTTTCAACGCGAGGGTATTTTTTTTTTTTTTTTTTTTTTTTTTTTTCCTCCCCTTCCTCTCGACAGAGGGAGACCCCCTTCTCCCCCCGATCGAACCCGGGATATTCGCGGCAAACATTTTTGCTTGGCCGTGTATTAACTCGCGCGCGAGCGCCGACGACCATTGTCGACGTAATTACGGCCACTTTGCGCGATGTGCGAAATTATTTCGCCATTCCTGTATCTGCTACCTTGTTCGAGCAACGTTGCTCCGATTTTTTAGTCGGGGGATTTTTCTCCTTTTTTTTTCTTTTTTTTTATTTTTTTCCTTTCGAAATAACATTTTTGACGGTAGATTTCGAATGATTTTCCCCTAAAATTGAATTTCACTTTTTCTTTTTTTTTTTAAATTTTATTCCGCTCGTTGCAGAAGTACGTAATTTAAAAAAAAAAAAAAAAAGAAGGGATCAATCGGAAGGCTCGAAGAATTGTAGCGATTTTTTTATTTTCCAATCGATAGGGAATGGAATTTATATTTATAATTATAATGAGATCAGAGAATTTTAGATTCTCCCCTTTACTTCGATTTCTCTCTTCTTTCTATTTAGAAGAATCGTTGAAAATAATTTTTTAATTATCTAATATTTAAATATATCGAATTATCGATAGTAAGAAGAATATGATATGATATGTTATGTAGATTGTTGGAACAATATAAGAAATTCTTAACAATTCTTAACAATTTCGTATGATTATTCGTTTACCATCCTGATATTTTCCCCCATTTTTCACCATCTGTTGAGAATAATAATCATTAATCGATTAAAAAAAAATCGAGAAAATTTTCGGCGGCCGCATAATTAACTCCCGCGTTTCACCCCCCCTTGATAACGAAGAGGCACGCGAAGGGGTAATTTAATAGGAAATTAAACCCCATCGGTGATTTTGCGACGAGTCCTCGCCACTGAATTGCCTCGCCGCCCTCGATCATCCGCAGCCAGCCCGTGACATTAATTGTTTCAACCCCGCTCCCTTTCTCGCCATCCCTCTCCCCCCCTCCTACAACTCTCCACGGATACTCCACAGATATTTCGAGCAAATATCCACGACAGACATCCACACCACTTTCGTCATCGGTTTCATCCTACTTTACGAAACTTGGAAACACGTTTCCACCCCCTCCAACTCGTGGCATTGACGAGGGACAGGCCTCGAATTATCGTAAACCTCGAGACGAATTAGGAACACGAGGGCGGATCGAATGGCCTATTAATCGTCTGTTAGTGGATCACATCGAGCGTCATAATTCAATCCCTGTTGAACGCGATGTACTTGCGATCGATCGAGAAGACGCCGATCTTATTTATCAAATTGTCGAACTTGTGAATATATTTCTTAAATATTTCTTAGCTTTAAGCTTGTAAAATCTTGTAGAATAAGAAGATAAATATTTTAGGATGTATATACAGGTACATTTTGAAGCAAAGTTTCAAAGGAAAGGATGTTTAAGAAAAAGGATTATTGATAGAGAGGGAGTAATATTTGGATTTAAGAAAAGGACTATTGCTTATTAAGGAGCCATATAATTTGCTTCTTTTGATTACCGGCCAATTAATAACGATAAATTGAACGCGGAGGATCGAGATAGGTACATATAAGGCTTTCCACCGTCCTCATTTTCAAGTAGCTCAATATTCCTATACACTTTCATATACTCCAGATTCCAACGAAA